TTGAGTGATTGGTCACGAAGAGGGTCTGAAGACATGCTCGACTGTCTCCCGGAGACTGATAATTCAGTTTTTATGGATGACCTGAGAGGTTTACCCTTAATGTCATGTAAAACCCGTTTTGGTTCCAAGTCTGATCAAGGAATGACAACTTCATCTGCCAGTAGCATGACTCCTAGATCCCCGATTCCGACCCCTAGACCTGATCCCATTGAACTGATTCTAGGTGGCAAGGGTACATTCCATGATCAGGATGATATTCCACAGGTTTGTTATGTTGTGCTTCTTCTTCGTAAGTTTCCTGTCTTTTGTTATTAAATATCCCGCTGATAAAACTCTTGACAACCAATAATGCAGATGAGTGAACTTGCTGACATTGCAAAATGTGCAGCAGATGCCATTCCGGGTGATGATCAGTCAATTCCCTTCTTACTTTCTTGTCTTGAAGATCTGAGGGTTGTCATAGACCGCAGAAAATTTGATGCGCTTACAGTAGAAACGTTTGGGACTCGCATAGAAAAGTTGATCCAGTGAGTTCCTTGATGCTACTTTAGATGAGATATCTTCTTGAGCCCCTCCCTCGATCTTCTTTTTTTGGGCATGTATATTTTCTGGGAGACGTTTTATCATTTCGAAGATAGCATGTGTTGAAAGTATAATTTTCTTGATTATGTAGGGAGAAATATCTGCAGATGTGTCAGCTTCTTGATGATGAAAAAGTTGACCTATCAAACACTGTAATTGATGAAGATGCTCCTTTAGAAGATGATGTTGTTCGTAGCTTGAGGACCAGCCCAGTACATCCGCGGGACCGCACATCCATAGATGATTTTGAGATCATCAAACCAATAAGTCGGGGAGCTTTTGGGAGAGTGTTTTTAGCTAAAAAGAGAACAACAGGAGATCTATTTGCAATCAAGGTAAAATACATTTTTCTTTTGTCGTCTTTCGAGTTCATTTTCCTTTTGCTACAAAAGATTTTTGTTTTGTTTTGGTAGCTAGGCTGTCGTTGTTGGCAAAATCTTTAGTAGGGTTTTTGCTTATCCACTGTGGTAATGTCTGTCATACTCCTCAGGTTCTGAAAAAGGCAGATATGATCCGCAAGAATGCTGTTGAAAGTATACTTGCCGAACGTGATATTTTGATCAATGTTCGCAATCCCTTTGTGGTGAGTAGGTCTGGCCTTTTAAGCATATTATCTGGATATAGCTGCTTCTTTTGGCATAACTTTGTCTTGGGCAGGTTCGCTTCTTCTATTCTTTCACTTGTCGTGACAACCTGTATCTGGTGATGGAGTATTTGAATGGAGGGGACCTGTATTCGTTGCTGAGAAATTTAGGTTGCTTAGAAGAAGATATTGTCCGTGTATATATTGCCGAAGTTGTAAGTTCTGAAATGTTTATTTTTGTAATAGTTCATGCTACAGAAGCTCTAGCAACTGATTCCATGATGAATTTCTTTCTCAGGTCCTTGCTTTGGAATATTTGCATTCTGAGGGTGTTGTTCACCGTGATTTGAAGCCTGATAATTTGTTGATTGCGCATGATGGTCATATTAAGGTACATTTTTCCACTGTTAGAACTCTTCTGCCATCTTTTGTGAACTTATGGGTACAATTATAGTGCTTCATAATACTTCTGTTGTCTTGCTATTTGAGGCTTAGGAGATTGTGGTCTGGTCTGTGCATTAAATTCTCATAATCACTGTAGACCTTATGGTTTCTTTCGTTTTCTGGAGCAGTTGACAGATTTTGGTCTCTCAAAAGTTGGTCTCATCAACAGCACCGATGATCTGTCTGGTCCTGGGACGTCTCTGCTTGATGAGGAGGAATCACGGTTACCAACATCCGAGCACCAGCTTGAAAGACGCAAGAAACGGTCTGCTGTGGGTACTCCTGACTACTTAGCGCCAGAAATTCTTCTAGGGACAGGACACGGTGCGTTCTGATCTTGGTGTCTGCTTATCTTTTATTCAAGATTGTTTTTTAGTAGAATGATTGGTACTCGGCCGGAATTAGTTATCCACTTATTTGAATAGAAAAAATATACGCTACCACAACTTCATCTCTGCTCTACTTATCTGGTGTGAGTAGAAGGTTTTCATATATTATGTAAATGCTAAGTACGCTGGACTAGCGAGTTTGAGGTATTTCTGTTCCGTAAATCACATGCCGGACTGGAAAAAATTATATAATTGCATTATCATTCAGGTGCAACTGCGGATTGGTGGTCTGTTGGCATCATTCTGTTTGAACTCATTGTGGGAATTCCACCCTTCAACGCGGAACATCCTCAGGTCAGAAACTAATCACTGTGTTGTTTCCTGTTAATGCTTTTATAGAGGAACCGATGTTTCTCAAGGTTCCACAAACCAAGATTCGTACTTTGGCTTGTCTTTCAAATGCTGTGCTCGTTTTTTTTGTATTAGCTTCTTTACTCTTGTTAACTATTATTTTGAAACAATTACTTATGTTTCATGAAGAGTAATTTGCATCTAGTTTCGTTTTTCAACATTTAATTTGCATTTCCTTTTGTTTGTTCTAGCAAATTTTTGACAATATTCTCAACCGTAAGATACCATGGCCTCGTCTCCCGGAAGAAATGAGTGCTGAAGCTCACGATATTATAGACCGGTAAGAGATATTCTTTCCCTGTAACCATTCGCTTCAGTCGTTTCCAAAATCATCAATTGTACGATAAAAGACATTGATGTACAACTATTTTTTGCTCATGTTCTTGAGTGGATGTCTGTTTCGCTAACGTCCAAAGTAAATGAACATTCCAAGGACGTTTGTTCCATATACAAGATCGAATCTTGACTCCATGCCATCTTCTTTTTCTAGATTTTTAACAGAAGATCCTCATCTGAGACTTGGAGCTAGAGGGGCTGCTGAGGTAAAAATGAATGTCTTTTTCTGTGATGACTAGTTCCAGTTTGTTGTAAATGGTTAATGAGACAAATTTCATGACGCAGGTCAAGCAGCACATCTTCTTTAAAGACATCAATTGGGATACTCTAGCGAGGCAAAAGGTGCAGTTATTTAATTATTTTCTTTTGAAGATTTAAGCTTTCCAGAAGCAGATTCTCATGCCGTTCACTCTTTTTCTTTAGGCTGCATTTGTTCCAGCTTCAGAGAGTGCAATTGACACTAGTTACTTCAGAAGCCGCTACTCATGGAACACATCGGATGAGCAATTTTTCCCGACTGGTGAGGCTGAAAATTATAGTGATGCTGATAGCTTGAGTGGCAGCAGTGGTTGCTCAAGCAATCGCCATGAGGAGGGAGAGGTAACATTGACTGATACACTCTTCAAATTCGACCTCCTTAAAATATTGTCTAAAAACTCGATCATTAATTTGTCTTTGGATGTATGATTTCCCCAAATTGGATCGTTGTTGGTACCCAGGTTGAAGAATGCGACAGACTTGCAGAGTTTGAGTCTGGCGTACCTGTAGATTACTCTTTCAGTAATTTCTCGTTTAAGGTACTCAACCCACAACTTCTCTGTTAAGATCCAGTGTTGTGAAAGTAACCAACTGGTTAGTTTATTTAGGTGTAGATGTTCCATATATCATTTTAGTATCGAGTTCTATGAACAGGCTTGTACCAACAGAATATTATATACATTTGGGGATAGTACAAGTTAATTTCTTATCAAATGGTGAAGTGGAACCATCACTGTGAAATATATAGATTGGCTCGTAAGATCACATCTGAGTTATCGCTCTAACTTGCTTCTTTGACGGTTTGCAGAACCTATCGCAATTAGCATCAATCAACTATGATCTTCTATCCAAAGGATTTAAAGATGAGCCACAACCGAATTCGCGTCACAAGTAAACATCCATTTCCTGGATGTTAGTTTTCTGCAAGAAACTCTTGTCTTTTCTTTTGCCGATTCCTTTTGGTGTTCTGTGTGAGTCAGTGTAATGAGTACTCGTAATTACCGGCGTTGTTTTTTATACTCTTGTAAATGTAAGTCGTTCGTTTCTGCTGATTTAGTTGTTTATCATAAGAAAAAAATTCCATTGCTGAATCTGTTTTTTTATTTATTGCATCTGCAGAGACATGAAGAGAAGAAAAGAGGAATCAACAAGTATCTAAACGTTATGGGACGCAAACGCAGCCACAGACGCTATACCAGCATTTTGCCCATGTTTCTGTAATCACAAGGACATGAGAGTGGTGAGGGTAGCGTTTGCGGTTTGATTTGCCAGCGGCAGCAATCGGTCTTATGTAAAGAACGATAAGAGAGAGAGAGAGAGTGAGGGCGGACAACCTACTTTAACCTTCAATGATTCAAAATGCAATTTAAGACGCAACCCTCTCGAAAAGCTCAGTAAAAGTCTATATTTATTTATTAAAGTTGTCTACCCCAATTTTAGTTACAAAATCCATTGCTCCCAACTTTTGTTTGGGAAATAAAATCGCAAGGGAAAATGAAAACATGATATACGACGACGTATCTGATCGTCTTGCACACTTCGGAGTTGGGATCCTTAACCTGTGTGGTGAGCTTTTGTAACTATTAGCTGTCACGACGTTGGATATAAAGACATTTACATTTACTGTAGTACTGTATAACAAGTTCCATGTCTATATAACTTATAATTCAAACTCGTAGTTAATACTGTACTCTCATCTTCTTTTTCGGTTGCATGCTATCGTACTAAAGAGAGACAAAAGCTGAAATGACGCTGGGATAAAGTTAAAAAGTTAAAAAGCACTAATAATTACAACCTCAACGAACTCCTCATCATCAGTGCCTCACATGAAAAAAAGAAAATAAAAAGAAGGAAAACGAAAATTAAAAAACATCTAATTAACGACCACAGGTCCACAACTCTAATTCCCCGCCATATTCTTAAACTAACATTTAAACAGCAAAGATTACAACATTGAAGAGAGGGACAGCATCAAACACCGAAAACGCAATCGTTTCATATTTGATCGATCCACCTCATGAACTTATTCTCAAGACCTCCTTTTTAACCATTTGGTCTTAACCCACCCGATCCAAACCCGACTGGCGCAACTCCTGGATCCTCCTCACCACCTCCACCATCACTGGCCGCTTGTCCGGGTGCTGCTCCGTACAGTCAATCCCCAGCTGCAGCATTTCTGCCATCTCTTCTCCTTCCACCGTCTCCAGACCCATCAGCTCCGAGTCAAACACCTCGCTCTTCCACTCCTCTCTCTCCACCGAATGCACCCACCTCGCCAGATCCATTCCTTCCTCGTTCATCACCGAGTTAGACGGCGCTTTTCCGGTGAGCAGCTCTAGCAGCACCACACCGAAGCTGTACACGTCAGCTTTCTGTGAGACACGCCTCGGGTCTGTTACTTCCGGCGCACGGTACCCGGTGACCCGGTTTGGGGTTGTGGTTGAGGAGCCGACGAGCTTAGCTAGCCCGAAATCAGAGACTCGTGCGTCGTGTGAGTTTGTTAAGAGGATGTTGGAGGACTTGACGTTTCCGTGAGAGCTCGATTGGTCTTGAGAGTGAAGATAGTCTAAGCCACGAGCCGCTCCAAAGGCGATACGTGATCTGGTTTCCCAGTCCAGTGGAGGCCTCCCTGCACCTTTGTTTCCTGTAACAGAGCATGACACTAAGATCAACCACTTGAAACAAATAATAAAACTAACAAAGGCAAGCAAATTCCAAACTAATCATTTTATGATATAAAAATATTTCCGTCTTAACCTGCATCCAAATTGTACCATAACAAGGCAATATTTCCAAATAATTAACCACTTCAAGTTGCATAATTTCTTCTTTAAGCCAAATTTGGGTATAAGTAAATCGAACTAACAATAAATATTGTTCTACAAAAGTTCCTGATTATGACACAGCTAAGCCAAAGTTAAGATTCAGCAGATACCAATTAAGAAAAAATTCACAATTTTTAAGCAGAGAGAGAGAGAAAGAAGCAACTGACCGTGCAAGAGAGCTGATAAACTTCCCATAGGCATGAAGTCATACACAAGAAGCTTCTCGTCTCCACTGTAATAGTAAGCTCTCAACGGCACCAAGTTCTCATGATCCATTGCCCCAACAACCTCAATCTTCTCCTTGAACTCTCTATCCGCCATCGTCACATCCTTCAGCCTCTTCACAGCCACCAATGTAACCGCGTCGAGCACCGCCTTATACGCCGTCCCGAACGTTCCTTTCCCCAAAACCTCCGCCGAAGCTCTCAACAGATCCTCCAGATCGAAAACCTTCGTCGCATTCCCGAAGAACACTAGCTTCTTCGTCCCCGAACTGTTCATTTCCACTGCTTTCGCGGCTCCGGTCACCGTCGTCGTCGCGGTGGAATACTCGTTACCGTAATTCCCGATCTCCGACGCTTCAACCGCCGGTTTATCGCCGTGGATTTCGATTTCATGCTGCTTGATGGTCGCGATGTCGAAGGACCTTGTTCTCTCGTTCCCCTTTTTACGGAAGAGAACCATCAAAATCAGAACAATCAGGAAGAAACCAACCACGCATCCAATCACTATCCCGGCTATCGCGCCGCCGGAGAGCTTGCGCCTTCTCTTGTTTCCCTCCATGGTTCCGGGAATGTTTCCGACGGAAATCGGCTGGCTTGGCACAGTTCCTTCATCCGCGCAGATACCGAGCGGTTTGCCGCAGAGCGAAGTTCCCACAAACGAATCGGAGTCGAAATTCTGGAGACTCTCCGGTATGGATCCGTTCAACAAGTTGTTAGAGACGTTGAACTGATCCAACGGCAAATCCATGTCTAGGAGAGAGCCGGAGAGCTTGTTGTTCTCCAGGTACAGAGTCTTGAGCCTCGTGAGGTTTTTAAACCCCGACGAGATCTCGCCGGCGAAATCATTCTCCGCTAGATTTAGGCGAACGAGGTTGCTGAGACTGAAGACGACCTCCGGTATCTCTCCGGAGAATCTGTTTCCCTGCAGGTACAGACGGCGAAGCTCGGAGCAGCTACCGAGATCTAAAGGGAGAGTGCCGGTGAGGGCGTTGAGGCGGAGGCTGAGCGTGCGGAGCTGGGTTAAATTACCGAAAATACCCTCCGGTATGTGACCGGATAGTGAGGCGCCGGGTAGACGGAGGACGGTTACGCGGCCACCGTCGCAGACGACGCCGGTCCAGTTGCATGGTGCGGCGTGTTTGATGTCCCAGAGGAATGTGCGGCCACCGACGGCGGAACGGAGCGAGAGGAGGGCGGATTTGTCGGCGGAGAGATCTTGAATCGACGGAAGAGGAAGAGAGAGGAGAAGAAACGAGAGGAATATGGAGAGACTCGCCATGGAAGAGGTGAGGAAGAGACGCATTGTAAGAAACGAGAAGGATAGAGAGAGAGAGAGAGAGAGAGAGTGAAGAGAAACCCTAGAGAGCTCTCTGTGAAGAAGGTGTGGTTACAGAGGAGAAGAGAGTGAAGCGAAAGGTAGTCAACACTTAACACTGTCTCTCTCTCTCTCTCTCTCCCTTCTTTTTCTCCTTTATTTCTTCCATTTTTATAATCGCTTTATTTTCTAGTTTTGAATATTTAAAATTAAAATCTTCTAAATGTGACAAAATCGACATTTCTAAACAAAACAGTGACGTCTGTCTTTCTATGCTTCGACAAAAATATGTGTTTCTTAATTCTATTGGTTATGTGATGTTTAGCTATGGATCGAATTTTTAGTATCCTATGTGAATCATTCGCTGTATTGTCTTATCTAATGTTACTACTACCTTCTCTACTAAAGATTCGTTACTGCATTACCAAATATTTAATTATATACATCGGAACTAAGATTGCCAAATATATCCACTCGTATAAAAAATGTTGTGAAATTAAGGGAAAAAATGAAGAAAATAGCAAGTGGATGTGTTTAGTTGCGGACAAATATTAAAACTAATACTCCTTGGAGAACTGGAGTCCAAAATTTAATAAAAAACCGTGTTAGTATCATGAAATTCCCTGCATTTGAGTAAAGTGGAGCCCTCTTCCCAAGATACACTTAGTTCTATGTTTTTCTTCACTAATTAAAGATTAAATTTATACTAATTATAAAGTATAAACTTGATTTGGTATAGAATAATGCATGGTTGTCAAGGAGGAAAAGAACATGGGTGGGTAAAGAGTGGTAGGACCATAACATGTAAAAAAGCCAACAACAATAATTTACAGCATTAAAGTTTCTACAAGAAAACACATTCTCTATTTTGTGATTGTCTCGACTCCACTCTGTATGCGATATTTTCTTTTCGATATGATCCACAGTCTGTATTATCAATCAAAAGGGTCCCAACAATATTCTATATACAAAACTTAAATGAAAAAGTCACAGTGATATAAAAACAAAAATAGTTGAGCGTTACACTTCGAGAGCCAACGGCTCCAATCAACTTAGATTGTAATCCATTATTGCACCAAATTGTTAATAATTCCAAGTCCGGCCATTACGCCTGACAGAAAAGGGTAGTCTGAAGTGAAAACTCAAATTATTTATAGCTATGGATGTACAATTTTGAATAATCATTTACAAAGATCAAAGATTAAGGAAAATGTATTCTTCTATAGGTTATTCGGATTATATGGGAGAATATCATGAAAATGAAAGTATTTAAACTAGAAATATATTCACATATACATAGGGAATATAAATTGTTGTATTTTTCTAGTAGTTGAATGATTCTTCTTTCGTCCGATGACCGCACATGTAAGATAGCAACAGTTTGGTAGTTGAAATACTGATCAGTTGTTTTTCCTCTAATTGTCGTTTCTTATTGTTTACTTTGGAAGATAGAGAAACGTTAGACATTCTCTAAGTATAGTAGCTGTCTTGTGAACCACTTACTTTACAGATGGAGAAACTCTTCTTTCATTGCGTAAAAAACTAAAAACTTGCTCTGAGTGAGATTGAACTTGAGCAATAACCATGTATATATGATTAAACATACATACAACATCATATTTTTTCTGTGACAAACAATCTCAACCTAGGAACGATATTGGTCCTTTTAAATTCAATGTATATCTAGTGAAAAGCTGTGTGTTACTTGAAGCGAAAGTTCTCCATCAAGGCTCTTTCTTTTGTTTCAAGCGATTACCTTTCTTCTGAACCAAAGCAACCGCCGAAGTTATAATGCACAGAGCCAAGACCGAGAGAACAATTGAACAAGTCCCTGCCTCTTTCATTCTTCCTTGTGGCAATGATGAGTTCAAGCTCATCGTCCCAAACGTTGTTCTTGAATTTTCTGGTCTACAAAATAAAAAGTGACATTTATAACAAAACATATGACAAGAAAACAATGTTGTGTCCTATGAAGAACTACTGAGAAAGGTTTCAGGAGAATTACCTTATGAAACTTTTCATTTTATGCCACAAAGACGGCTCTTTTCTGGGCTCCGAGCCAAATCTATGCTCCTTTTGACGAGTTTCTACAAATGCGGTATATAAATTTGTAACCTTTTCTATTTCTTTGTTGAAACTAAAGTTGAGAAATATATTTGAATTGTACCAGTACTGCTACTAGATCTTCTAAGTGATGACAATTCCTCTACCAATTTGCGCTCCCTCTCGCTGCCATTTACGTTGTTCCAAGCTTTTTAGTAAACAAAATATGACATAAAGAGGCTAAAAGGGAAGTGGCTTGACACCAACCTTAGACTTTTGGGGATCGAAACCTTCACTACAAAGCAATGATCACCACGAATCGAAGGTCTATCCGTGTCAGGAACTCCTTTTCGATAAAGTTTCACAGTGTCGCCTGGCTGAGTTCCTGGCGGAATCCGAAGATCCATTGTTCCCTCAACTGTTTCTACCTGAAAAAACAAACATGTCATACCTACAAGGTTACTTCTCATTATCGAGTAACGTCAAGCAACAAACGATTTTAAAACCCACCTTTGTGACTGTCCCAAGTATTGCATCGGTGAAGTCGATGTTGATATTGGAGTATAGATTAAGCCCTTCCCTCTTAATTCCTCGCTTCTCATCAACTTGAAGCACGATGAACAGGTCTCCAGCTCGTCCACTATGGAAAGTAGAAACCATAATGAAAAAACCAATCGCCAGAGCACTAAATATCAGGAAATGTAAGTCCAAAATAACAGAGTGTTTCCTGTACCTTCTCTTGTCCACGTTACCTTCTCCTTTCATCCGCATTGTGGCTCTGTCGCTGACACCAGGAGGAACAAGAACATCCATTATTTTCCTAGACCGTAGTCTCCCGTTGCCAGTGCACTTTCGACACTTCTCAGTAACGATTTTGCCATCACCACCACATTTGGAGCAAGTGGAAACCTAATAAATCACAGTCAAATGAAAATTTCCGTTCTAGGAATAACAGAAAGTGATCAGAATAGTATTGGCTACAAGGAGTTACCTGAGACATGATTCCAAAGGGTGTTCTCTGAGTGTCCATCACACGTCCTTTACCACCACAATTGCTACACTGTTTAACGTCCTTACTGGATTTAGCACCTGTTCCTCCACAACCATCACACGTCTCCAAATACGAAACCTCAATTTCCCGTTTTACTCCAAAAACCGACTCTTCAAAGCTCAACCGCAGATCATACCTAATATACATGTTCCCCAAGTATCAGTCAAGGAAAACAAACTCCCCGAGTTTAGGAGACAAATAATTTCTTCCATTGTAAAGAAAATATTCGGTAAACATACAAGATCAAGACTCGAGCCTAACAAAAGGGTTAGCCGGAATCTCTAATTCCCTATAGCTAACTATCGTCCACCACAGATGGGAGGCAGTAATCAAATGCTACTTCATTTGGGAAAAAAATAAAATAATTTGAAAGTAAATTTAGCTTGAGAACAAACTTGCGAATACAAGAAGTTTACCGAATGTCAAGGTCTAGGCTTCTCTTATTCATGAAATCAAAACCCATCCCTCCTGATTCTCCCATTCCCCCAAAGATTCCATTTCCATCAGAACCTCCAAAGAATGCACTGTACAAATCAAATGGATCCATCTGAAGAATGGGGAAAAAGAAAGAATCAAAGACAGTCAAAAGTGTTTGAGAGATCAATAGAATTTATCCATAATTGACATACCCCTTCTGTAGCATCCTGTGATCTATTAAAATCACCTTCTAAACCTGCCTCGCCGTAGCGATCATACACGGATCTCTTCTCCTCATCAGATAATACCTACACGAATGCTTCATTCCCAGGTGTAATGAGCAACAAAGCTTCACAAGCGAAAAACGCAGATTCCTTAAAAATTAGGCATTTGAAAATGTGACAGAGCTTGTGTTACCTCGTAAGCAGCACTAATCTCTTTGAACTTATCTTCAGCACCTGGGTTCTTATTCATATCCGGGTGATACTGTTACACCATCACACATCTAAGCTCAAATCGAAGAAAACAACAAAGGAAAAAAAGGGGAAAAGCGAGAATCTCGAAGAGTAACCTTGCGAGCGAGTTTTCGGTACGCGCTCTTGATATCCTGCAAGGTGGCGTTGCGGCTGACATTCAATGTGGAGTAGTGATCTTTTCCGGCGGCCATAATGACCCCACGACGGCGATTCCTCCCGGAAAATTCCAATCTCCGAACACGCGGAAAATTGGGTAAATTGGAAGATGGGTGAAATGACGCATTGGACTGTGGAAACTGATACCGGAAGCTGTGAGCTGGGTTAATAGATGGAATCAACGGACAGCGAGCCATCACGACCATTTCATCTCCGGAGAGCCACCGGAATTTGAGAGGGAGGAGGTTTTAAGGTGGTTTTTGCTCAGTGGTCGTCTGTCTACACGGCACGGTAACATTAGGCTAGATAGAATCTTCGACATCATACTCAAAACGACGTCATTTGCTGTTATATTAGTATTGAATAATATGTTGGGCCGAGCAGTTTAATACTAAAGCCCATTTTCTTAGTTACGGGCTTGTTCCTTTTCAAACGATGATGACTCCCAAATTTATAGTTTTACGTACGAGCAAAGAGTTGACAGAGAGATTAGGGTTTCGAAACAAGAGATATCGATCATGAGAAGACGCAGCAAAAGTACAGAAACCGTGAAAATCACCAATCCACAAACGTCAGAAGATCAAAACAACTTTGTCCAAATCCCTCTTGACGTAGTGATCGAGATTATTGGGAGATTGCCTTGGAAATCCGTGGCGAGGTTTCTCGTAGTATCGAAGTCATGGGAAGCGTTTATCTGTAGCCGATATTTCATCACCTCGTTTCCGTTTGGGTCTTCTTTGTCGTCGCAGACTCGTCTCCTAACTACTTTCAATGATTGCATAGGAAAACGCAAATATTTGGACTTCTTCTCGTCGTCTTCTTCATCAACGTCATTTATATCACGTTTTACATGTCCGCTGTCAACTCTTGACCGCTAAGAGTACCTTGTGCATGACGTTAACGGCTTAATAAGCCTTGGATGTGATGAAGAACAAATCATATTTAATCCCACTACTGGTAAGTCCATAACTTTACCTAGAGTCGTAACCTGGAGAAAGATAATCAAGACTTATTTCGGGTATGATCCAGTTAACGATCAGTACAAAGTGTTGTGCTTGACGAAAATCAATGATAATCATGGATCTATTCATTTAGTTTACCATCAAGTATTAACATTCGGAGCAAGAGAACCATGGAGAGTGATGGATGATTGTAGCATTCCTCACTATCCTTGGTCTAGCGGTTTGTGCATAGATGGTGTTTTGTATTATGTTGCTATCACGGGGAAAGAAGTGTTGCTATTTAGCATGATGAGATTTGACCTAAGGTCTGAAAAGTTGGATCTTTTAACTGGACTACCCGCATCTCTTGAAGCTCCTGATGCGTGTACTGTGTACTTTGATAAAGTACAAGGAGAAAGTTGCCATACCGACACGAGTTTCAGCATGCACATTTGATGTGTGGGTTATGGAAGAAGATGGATGGTTGAAGACAAGTTTCAGTATCAAACCTTATTGTATCAGTTTACAAATGGGATATATACACATAAAAGGCACTACTCGTATGGGTGAGATTATTTTGGCACCCTCCCGTGTTAGGAATGCGTTTTATGTTGTCTTTTACAATCCCAATAGCAATAGTTGTAGAAACATTAAGATTGAAGTTAACTCAGGCCATGACTTCACGACGACGCCATATCCAGAACTAACCATTCTTTCGGATTATGTAGAGAATATTAGGTTTTCTTAGGAGTTTCATGAATTGATACTAATAATGTTTCTTAATATATGCGTTATTTAGTTTTTTTTATCGGAGAAAGATAATATTATCAATTTGTTGTTGAAACCAGTTTGATTCATCTGTTTGTTTATGCGAGCTTTGCAATTCAAATTATGTCTCCTATCTCGATTGTTATACTCTCTGAATGCTTTTCCGTTCACATATACATACTTCACACGAGTGGAATATGTATATTTTATTATGGATGTGCAGAAATTTAAATAATTATGTTACAATGCAAGTAAAAATGCAAAAAACTTCAAAGTAACAAAAATACAAGCTTGTAAATAAATTCTCTAAAGTTGAACTTCAAGAATTATATAATCTTAAATGAGAATCCGAAAAGTAACGCACCAACAACATTAGTAATACAAAATCACTAGATCATATATGTTCTGGTCAAATAATCGATCGTTTAATCTAAGAATCATAAAACCAATGTGATTACATTGCAGTATATCATAGATAACAAAAAAACTAAAGAGTTATATATGCTATGTTGAATAGAACTATCTCCATATATATAACTATTTTTTGCTATGAACAACCATCTCCATTTTTTTCCAATTCTTATATACAATTTTTTTGTGAACGCTTTCAACAATCACTGAATGTTAAAAGACATATATTTTCTGAAAAACGAAAACTGAATAAAATATAGACCGTGTATTTGTATGCTAATACCTACTATGAAAGGAGTCCAAGTTCGATGAATCATCATCATCAAATCTAATAACTTGATAAAGTTTCCTAACAACTCTGCTTTTTCCCTGTGGAAAACTTAAAATAATAGACTCAGGACACTTGTACTAGTTGAACAACTAGTAACAACACACCAGTACTGGTCCATGTATTCTGCGAATAAATTGTAATTTTACGAAATAAAAACAAAAAAGATCTGGAAAAAATGTATTCCAATATGTAAACATAGAATCCCATATATCACCAATTGTATATTTTTGCGTGGACAACACCAATCATAACATTTATATTTACTTTATATCCTTTCAGTTTCTTTATTTTAAAGCGAACTTAAGTGGGTTCGGTTGGTGGCGCCATGATCTTTTCTTCATTTAAATACTTGATAAGGAACGTTTACAAAATGGCTGCTATGATTAAAGTGAGATGCTAAAGGCATTGAGGTACGAACAATGTACCTGTTGTGTTTTCTTTATCAAAGAAACAAAACTATACATGTGTTTTGTGCCTTGCCAAAACTTAAGAAAACGTTACACTTGCAACTTTTCGTCATTATCTTTTCTTAATTAAGGCAATGCCATTATGCACAACTCAGGAATAAATGCGTCACAAAAAGGTAGTCACGAATGTCCCACACAGAAATAAATGTCACAAATATCAAAAGTCGATTTGACTTTTTCGTCCAAGCTACCTCCCGAATTTCTATGCATGAGATTAGGACTGATGACTAGGAAGCAGGAGTACACAGCACGTGACGACCATTACGGTCTGTTCCGGTGTTCCCACCTTATATTCCACCACCCTGCGTTCTCGAAATTACTCCTATTTTATTTTATCTTATTCTAATGTTCTCTCATATCTTGTTGTAAAGAATATTCGACACTATCATTCGCAAAATCTTATCCTACTTTCTAGGAAGTACGTCGCTTTTATCATATCCAACAAAATAAAATACTCACAAAGACCAAAATCCTAACATTTTTAAGTTTAATTTCAAGATAAGAATCCTTTATTTAATTATTCGAAATAAAAAACATAAAATGTCATACTAAACAAGTAATTATTTAAATGGAGAAAAGTGCAATCAAAGGCCAAATGTCGCTCGAATTGAAAACCCAAATCAAATATCAATAAAACATGAGATTAACCGAGGATGGTGGTTTCAGCGATCATGGAGGTGACGACATAAGGATCCATGTTGGAAGCTGGCCTGCGATCCTCGAAGTAACCTTTCCCTTCTTTCTCAGTGTCTCTCCCCACTCTCACCGAAGCTCCACGGTTCGCTACTCCCCAAGAGAAAGTGTTGATGTCTGCCGTCTCATGCTTCCCAGTGAGACGACGCTCGTTGCCTTCACCGTAAGCAGCAATGTGCTCCTTGTGTTTCAGCTGAAGCTTCCCTATCGCTTTCTTTATCACCTCCAATCCTCCATTGTTCCTCATCGACTTCGTACTGTAGTTGCAGTGAGCTCCAGCTCCGTTCCAATCTCCCTGATAAACACCATTCCAAAAAATGTTACAACAAAGCATTTTGAATATGACTTAAAGTAATTGGAGAGTGGTTAAGAAGCTAACCGGGACTGGTTTAGGGTCGAAGCTGACTATAACACCAGAGATCTCGGTGATCCTCTGTCAAAAAGATGAGATGATGATAATCATTAGTGAATTTGAAGATTCTGATTCACAATAGAACCGGTTTTAAGTAAAAATTGCTTGCGTACCTCGAGGAGGTAACGAGCGATCCAGACTTGATCACCAGCACCAATACCTTCAACAGGACCGACTTGGAACTCCCACTGGCCAGGCATGACTTCTCCGTTGACACCGGAGATGCCAATACCGGCGTAGAGACAGGCCTTGTAGTGTGCATCCACTATGTCACGACCGATGGCCTTGTCTGCTCCCACGCCACAGTAGTATGGCCCCTGAGCGCCAGGGTAGCCACCAACAGGCCAACCAATTGGCCAGTTCACATCCTTCTGCATCAATGTGTACTCTTGCTCAATCCCATACCTTTTCAATCATCCACAGAGAGAGAGAGTATTAGTATTATAGTATATGATCTGATTTGCAGAAAGAAGGAGAAGAAGAAGAAGAGCTTACCAGGGCTCCTCAGAGGCAACGTTAGGGTGGCTGAAGATCTTAGCGGCGTTGTGCCTCTTGTTGGTCGGGATTGGATCTCCTTTCGGTGTGTAAGCATCACATATCACCTGAATACATCACAACAATCAACGATTTAAGCAAATCTGATTCTAGATCCAAATTGATTTTTGTTTTTTCATAACACAAATAAACGCACCAGAATGTTGTTGCCTCTCCTGAACGGATCACGGAAAATCGCCTGAGGGCTTTTGATTCATTAACAAAAAAAAAAAGCAAACAGATTAGACGATGAAACTACGTTTGTATTTTTGTTTCAATATATAGAGATGATCGAACGAAGAACATACTATAGGATGACTTCACTGTCATCTCCGGCGGCCTGATTGGTGCTGGATCCGTCGTAGTTCCACTTGGGAAGCGATGATGGATCGGTCACGGGTCCTGGTAGCGTCTGTATGATCCAAACCGAATCGGATCAACCAAACAGGGGAAAAGAGAAACGAAAACAGAGGAGGAATAAACAGAGTATTAATTTACCCTGGCTTTGCTTCTAATGTCCATTCCAGATCCACCGATCCTGTTCATTCAAAATTCACCACGGAAACTCACAAACCCAAAAAATAATAAACAAGTTTTACGTTTCTACACGTCAATCTATCGCGTAAATCGACGCATGACAGCGAAATGAATCGTTTTCGTATCGAAATTCTCAAACACGTAAAGAGATCAGCAGAAAGGAAAATAGAAAAGCAAAACTTTCGATCGCAGCAAAAAGGGAGAAACAGAGATAATGAGAGTCGGCGTAAGAGAGAAACAGAGAGAAGCGAGATCGAACCATATGTATTCGGCGATGATTTTCTCGGTGGCATCGGAGAGGGAGAGGTTGACGAGATCTGAGAGCACAGACATGGCGGCTTCGGAGAGAGGAATACGAGAGAAATAATCAGTGTGATTAGGGAAGACGAACAATAAAATCTCTCTGCTGCGAGTGTTGTTTATAGAGCTATTTTGTTTTGTTTTGTTTTGTTTTTTATTTATTTTATTTTATTTATTTATTCAAATAGTTACGGTCAACACATGATTTTGGCAAATCGGTAATTTCATTTAATGCTGTGTGCTAATATTTATCTTTTATAATTTATATAGTTTCGAGGCTGTTGAAAAAAAAAATTATATAATTTGATAAATGATATATTTCTTCAAAAAAAAAATCATTCGGTTAGGATTATCCTGAGATTACAGATTACGACAACAATATTTCATTTATTTTCAGCAAAAGTAAAAATAAGTTATATACAAAACGTACGAAAGTAGTTCTCTTTATGCGTTACGAAATGATACAATCGGTGAATTTTTTGTTATTTTGGGGTGTTTGCACTTTTGGAAGAACGTTGTTGTTCCACATATATTTGATTAATTTACCGCCACATCTTAGTTTTCTATCAAGAAGATTTATAAATTGCAGGAACATGTGAACAAGTGCACGCCGCAAAAGCATGCCATCTATTATAGCATACGTTTCATAACAAGTAAAACATTCCAATTCATTTGTTTTTTAGTATAAAACGGATTATGATATTTATAAATGAATCGGTTAAAATGGAATTGTTGATGAACACGTAAACGTAAGTTAGGTACGAAATGTATTTATTTTTCATTTTTTTTGTGTTAATTAATAGAGTTATGGATAGTGTAGTCATAAAGGCATCCCTATGATGAATAGAGTTATGGATAGTGTAGTACTTTTGTTTGTCACGGATTCTTCGCATTTTGTTGCCTTCTGATTCTTCGCATTCAACGGATGTGTATTAAAATAGGCATGATCATATTCCACATCCATGTTAATTTTGTACTTAGAACCAGTCAGATCTTTATATAAAATTCTATATTTGCAATTTTTTCTTTCCCAAATTCTTACAAATCTTGGACTCACGTAACCAAATCAGAGCTCATGAATTCTGGAATAAAATTTTGAAATTCCGCATATGTATCCTCAAGGTAATTAAATAAAAATGATTCATCAATTAAATTCTATAAACTAAAAGGTACAAAAGAAAGATGTATAATGAAAAGACACGATACTAGAGAGAAAATGTTGATGCATGTTTTAGGATTGTTACAAATACTAGATAAAATCGAACTCAAAGATAGTCGTCGAGAGTTGCAAAAGAACGGCATGTAGGACAACATGAACTCTTGCAAAGCCATCTATTAATGCAACCAAGGTGGAATTTGTGCATGCAGTCTCTGAGCCTAACATAACCAAAACCTACGTTGAGATCTTCGAGGCAGATTGGGCAATCTCCTTGGCCCATGAATCTTCTCAGCTTCTCTTTTCTTCTTTGTGATAAATATCTTATCAGCTTAATCATTAATATCTGGTAAACCTCTACGGGGATAAAAATGGTGATGACGCCGGCAACAAGGCCCAAAGCTAGGTAGAAAACTCACAACACGACAAAGGGAGTCTCAGAATTCTTTGGCTCTTCGGCAGCATAGATACTCCCATATAAGAAAGCCAATGAGAGAAATCCCATATAAAACGAAAGAGGAAAAGCCATGAAGTAACACTTCACATATCGTAGGCTCTTTACTGGATCTAACTTGACGATAATGAGCCATTCAAGCAAAAGACTCCAAAGAAAAATGTATAATTTTCTGCAAGTACTCTTAATTCATCCAAATCTAGTTAGGCTCTCTGTATATATCCCTTGATTTTCTCTTGATTCTGTTTTTATCATATCCATTGACCATATATACATTCACGTCATTTTGTTTTTTTCTTTAAATTTTTTTAATGCTTAAAAATATAATCACTGATATAATTCTATTCTTTATTTGGGGTTCTGTATGTTATTGTTATTTTTTTTGTTGGATGTAAAATGAGGAGTAATTATAAGCTATCCCTTTTTAAAATATGTGTGTTAATTATGTACGTGTGATAGTTATAATTTCCTGTTGGACTAAAATGAGGAAGAAGAGAGATCGAGGATCTATGAAAATAGCCAACAAGCATGAAAAGGCAAAGATTTAGAGTTTTTTAATATAGGTAAATGATTTTATATGCTGTATGAAAGATTTATATGATTTTCTTTTACATAGCTCTTGGGGAAATAGTATGGATATGTGTTCTGTTGGATTAAATTGAGTTTGATCGTATGACTTAATTAAGTTAGTACATGTGTATCAAACGGTGTTTGTAAAAATTGTGACGGTTGGTTTAGGGTGTGAAGTCAAGCTGATACTTTGGTTTACGGATGTTATAGATATTGACGGGAACTGAACATTCGAGAATCAAATGATACTATCTAAAATATTTTTTTATCATAACGGGACGAGAAACGATGGGAATAAGAAGTTTGAGACTAAAAATTATACACCTAAAGTCAAGAAAAAATTGAAAAGATTTTGGTTTATGAAAAATACAGAAAATTGTGGGAAAATAAAAGAGATATTCTGAATCTTTTTTTAAAAATATTAATAATAAGAAATGTCATGATGTTAATAATAATAAATATTATTATTATTTTTATTAATTTTTCTGAATAGTTCTTGCAATTTCATAAAATTTTCCGTTATTTTCATATTTTCCCTTTTTTTTTTCAGTTTTTCCGATTTATTAAGATTTTGGATGTATAATTTTTCGTCCCAATCTTCCGTTTTCGTCATTTCTTGTCCCGTTATCACAAAATAATATTTTAGTTAGTATAATTTGATTCTCAAATGTCATGTTCCTTCAATACCAATTCCAAAACTTGAAATGCACATGGAAATGCACATGGTTTTAACATTGACTTTCGATTTGGTCGGTTTAACTTGCATATTTTTAAGTTGGGGGTCAAATTTGAAAAAAGAATATAGTTGGTGGTTTTTTTTTCACAAAATCATTTTCAACTTCAGCACAAATATACAGAAGATCTTTATTGCAGGGTTATTTTGACCTCAAATTTTAATTTACACAGTTTTTAACTGAAGGTTTGATTTGGAAAAATAATTTAGTTTGAGATTTTATTTGCACAAAACCCTTTTTTCTTCTGTTGTTATGATTTTGTTTTAAATGGCATTTTAAAAAATTGATATCATAATTATATGTATTTTACAAGGATATTGAAGTTAAAATGGTTAATTTTTTAAAAAGTGTATTAGGACAAATGATTAGTTTTTTTAGCCAATATTCACAAATCTACCTGATATTTCAGATGATTTGAAAGAATTAATAGTTAAAAATCCAATCAAGAGCCGTCAAAAAAAAATTTTAATCTATGAGTATAAAAAGGTGTGACATAATTTTTTTTTTGTCAACAGCGACTCTATCTAAAACAACTCGGGAATCCAAGCTGGTGAGACAGAGTTTACATAATACACATCAGTAGGAAGAGTTCGAGCACTACGTGCTAACTTGTCTGCCTTTGTGTTGTTCGTCCTCGGTATGTGGACGATGGAGAAAGAAGTGAATCTCGTTCTGGATCTGTCAACCTCATCTAACAAAACGGCAAACGCCGGCCACTCCTCTGGTGTAGACACCATCTTCACCACATCGGAACAGTCCGTCTCGAACACCATTTCCACCTTGTTATTCTTAACATACATTGCATGGCCCAAATCAGAGCCTCCAATTCGGTTTGGAGGGGTGATATTCCCTGTCTAAGATTGCACGCTCCCATAAGCTTGCTCTGTGTATCTGTATTGAAGAAATACCAGCCCAGTCCAGCCCTACAATCTGTTTCCTTCCATGCCCCATCCACTTGACACCTGAGGAAATTGCTTCCACACTGTGAACTACCCTTGTAATTCCGGTCTCTTGTTTTTCCTTGGCATTTGCCCATGCCAAAGCCTCCGCTGTGGCTTTTGTAATTATGTCATACGGATCCCAATCCACATTCCCCAGCACCTTATCATTACGGGCTTTCCAAATATACCATAGTAACCAAGGATAACAACCCATCCGTTCATCGTTTGGCAGCTCCGAGAAAAGATGTGCCATGTTTGCAAACAAGCTCCCCGTTGGGAATCTATTTGGAACTGTGGGAATGGGCGATAACGCCCAAACCTGTAGTGCTGGCGGGCACTCAAACAGAGTGTGATTAACCGTTTCCGCTGTCATCCCACATCGCAAACATTGGGGATCTATCTGAATATCCCGACTTTTTAGCCTATCTCCCACCGCTATGCAACCCGTTAACGATTGCCAAAGAAAATGTTGTAACTTTTGAGTACATTTCACTTTCCACACCTGTGCCTGAAGAGACCTTGTGTCAGGACCAAATACGAGAGGGGTACTCTCCTGCCGCGTTTGTTGTTCTAACCCATATCCTGATTTAACCGAATATCTGCCCGTCCGAGTGAGAAACCATCCCATGGAATCAGGGCGGGAGACATGTGATGTTGGAATCCCTAGAATTAGAATTAGAGCAACATCCTTCACATCAAATAATTGCTTTAATAGTGGTAAATTCCACATTGTTATGCTAGGACTAAATAATTCACTCACCCGAAGGTGAGAGAAAAAATTAATCCCCGATTCTGTAGCTGGCCTCGGGCAAGAAGATAGAATCCAGGGATCCTCCCAAACGGAAATTGATGATCCTCCCCAAAAGATGTGACATAATTATCCATTTATATTTGCATAATTTTTTTTCTCTTTTCTTGGAAATTTGGTATACAAATAATTTTTGCTTTTTTTTCATGTCATACGTGACGGTAGAAAAAGTCGCTTCATGTCATCTTCCACTTGTTGTATATCCCACATATCCGAAGCTTGACGTGTGACCCAAATATTTTTAATAAAAACTTTCGTTTATAGATATTTTGAAAGAAATTGAAAAGCTATGGTATGAATTATGAAATCAAACAAATAGTTTTTTTCGTACATGAACGTAAACAGATTAACATAAAGTTTCTTCAAACTGTATTGACGACGTCAACTAAACCCAGTAGTCATTTGTCTTCGTTAATCACAATGCCAATAAAAATCAATAAACAAATGCAAATGCCCGAGGAGATTAATATTATTTGCTACTTGTTTATTAAATCACCAAAGTATAGATATACACATCATATCTATAAATATCAATAAGATCAAGTCAACGAAAGCAAAAACAATTAAATAAATAAGTCTAACAACTTAAATAGATTCAACTTAAACAATTTAAAAACACATAAATTTTATTATCTCCTCTTCAACCTTGATTTCGCGATCACACAAATCTTTTACATGCATCACATTGCAAAACAGATGCGTAAGTATTTAATAAATATCTAGTGGGCAATCACCCTGTCTACAGACCAATTACACAATTACTAACAATTAAATACTTATTATAATACTCAATAATTAAATATTGAAATAAACCAACCAAAATCGATTAAACCATTTCAATTCATTTAAATCAATTAAATTAGATTAAACCAAAAATAACTGGTCTGTGTCGATTGACACATGTTTTGTGTTGGTTGTGTCGGTCCACACCAGAAGGTGTGTGTCGCTCGACACCATTTCCTGGATCGCAGAGTTCGGCCTATGAACAGTACCCGAAACACAGAAAACAAACAAGTAAATCAAATCAACGACAACAAACAACAATAACACCACAAATCATCACGCAAAAACAAGCACATAACGCCATTCTAGCAATCACGGACCCATAGTCATGCACTCACCTTGGATTTTCAGATTGAAAACAGAAGAAATCAAAGAAGATGATGAACATGACGAAGAACACGACAAATCCACCTCGCACCAGCCACACACACGCGTCCAAGCTCCGAAACAACGACGAACAGGCTCAGATCGATCACCAAACACAAAAATCGCCTCAAGAAATCGCTCCTCTCCTCAATTGCCCACTAAACGACAAAAACGAAGGAAAAAGAAGCGGCTGCGCGAGTTGTAAGTCGTGAACCCAAGGTTTTCTAACTAAAACCGGGCTAAACCGGGTTTCACTTCACTCAAATTGAATCGGGTTTTATTTCAAAATCGCTGTGTCGACCGATACACTTTCCTTGTGTCGCTCGATCCAGCTTCCTCAACCTGATATTTCGGTTTACGGATGTTGCAGGTATTGACGGGAACGGACAATTCGGGAATCAAATGATACTATCCAAAGTATTTTTTTGTGGTAACATGACGAGAAATGATGGGAGCAAGAAGTTTGAGACTAAAAATTATACACCTAAAGTCTTAATAAATCGGAAAAAAAAATTGAAAAGATTTTGGTTAATGGAAAAATACAGAAAAATTTGGGAAAATACAAGAAATATTTGAAAAATTTAAGAAAAAATACTAATAGTAATAAATGGCATGATGTTAATAATAATAAATACTATTAATATTTTTATTATTTTTTCTGCATATTTCTTGTATGTTCTCAAAATTTTCGTATTTTTCATATTTTTCCAAATTGTTTTCAATTTTCCCGATCTACTAAGATTTTGGGTGTATAATTTTTTGTCCCAGTCTTCCCGTTTTAGTCATTTCTTGTCCCGTTATCATAAAATAATACTTTGATTAGTATAATTTGATTCCCAAATGTCTTGTTCCTGTCAATACCAATCCCAAATCTCGAAATGCACATGGTTTCAACGGTAATTTTCAACTTGGCCGGTTTAACTTGCACATTTTTTAAGCTGAGAGTTAAATTTTTAAAAAGAATATAGTTAGTGGTTTTTTTTTCACAAATTCATTTTCAATTTCGTCACAAATATACAGAGGATCTTTATTGCAAGGTTATTTGACCTTAAATTTTACTTTGTGCAGGTTTTAACTGAGGGTTTGATTTGTAAAACTTATTTAGTTTGAGGTTATTTTGCACAAAACTCTTTTTTCTTCCATTGTTATGATATTTTTTTAAACGGCATTTTAAAATATTATATAATAATTATATGTATTTTACAAGGGTATTGAAGTAAAAATGATAAATTTAAAAGAAAGTGTATTATGAAAAATGGTTAGTTTTTTAAGCCTATATTCATAAATCTACATGTACCTGATATTTTACGTGATTTGAGAGAATTAATAGTTGAAAATCCAATCAAGAGCCGTCAAAAAAATGTTTATTTTTTAGACCAATGAATAGAAATAGTGTACCATCTCATATGATGGTATTTGAGAAAATATGAAAATAAACATTTATTTTTGATATCTTTCCTGAATCAGTTAAATTAATTCAAAAAGCAAAAGACCGAAAGCATCGAAAGGGAAAAATGGGAACTTTTAAGATCAAAATCTAAATTACAACGTACCAATAAAAAATCCACACAAAATTGTCTTAATTAACAAGGAATGTTTTTAAGCAAAAGAAAGACAATGACAAAGTTTATAACGGGAAAACTCTCTACGGAAAATGTACTAACAAAAAAAAAGAAAATGGAAACAATTGTGTCACTCTTGAAGTCTTGAAGACCATAGATAAGAAGTTGGTGACCGAATGGAAGTAGTTGAGACTCCAACAGTCCACTTTGGACAAACCTATTAAAGCATTTGTTTTAATCAGATTTGAGATGTATAAGCACGAATTTGAAATCATAATTTGGTCATTGATTTACCTGATAGTATAGAGAATAAGACTTGATTGATATTGATACAATGGGATTCGTACATCATATATAGTACTTACATAAGAGACACTACTAGGTATTTACTATTGTGATATATATCCTTTCCATACTTGGCTCTATACGCCCCCTCAAGATGGAGATACTTTTGTAACTCCAATCTTGCTAAATAACTCAACAAATCTGGGACGTGGTAAAGGCTTCGTAAGTGCATCAGCCAGCTGGTCTTTGGTGTTCACATGAGCCACTCGTAAAGCACCGGCTTGGACATTGTCACGTATAGTGGTAATCCAGAGCAAGATGTTTCATCCGAGAATGGAACACCGGATTAGCACACAAGTACGTAGCTCCGACGTTATCACAATACACAACAGGATCATTAGTCAGATTAACATGAAGCTCCGTAAGAAGAGAATATACCCACCGAAGCTCTGCCGCTGTGTTCGCCACGGACCGATATTCAGCTTCCGTTGATGATCGAGCAACACCTTTTTGTTTCTTAGAGGACCAAGCAATCGGTGTAGCACCTATGTAGAGAATGTATGCATTAGTGGAGACAAAATCATCAACATCCCCGGCCCAATCAGCGTCAGAGTAGGCATGGAGTGTGAGCGGGTTGTTAGCTCGAAGGAAGAATCCATGTGAGGCTGTCCCTGCGAGATAACGAAGAACTCGCTTTGCCGCATTCCAATGCTCGTCTGTGGGACGGTGCATAAACTGAGATAGCCGATTGACGGCATAAGCGATGTCCGGTCTTGTGTAGCCCAAATATTGTAGGCTGCCAATGACGGTGCGATATTGACTTGGATCGTCTAGTGGTGAACCAAAATTGAGAGAAAGCTTTGGCGTGGGTGACATCGGTGTGGCAACGGGTTTGGAGTTGAGCATGTTTGTCCGAGTAAGCAAATCAATGATATACTTCCTCTGCATCAAGTGTAAACCTTTCTGTGATCTTGTTGCTTCTATCCCCAGAAAGTACGACAAATCAGTAGGGTCTTTAAGAGAGAACCGGCTTGAGATAGCAGCAATGAAGCGATCAACGAGAGCGGTACTACTGCCGGTGACAATTATATCATCAACATATACCAAAGTGTAGAGAAGATCCGCACCTTTCGAATAGACAAACACCGATGTATCCGCTAGTGAATTTTGAAAACCAAGTGCAAGGAGATAGTTTCGCAATTCCTGGTACCACGCACGCGGTGCTTGCTTGAGGCCGTATAAGGCTTTATGCAATCGACATGCATGGTCTGGTCGGTCTTTGTCAATGAATCCGGGAGGCTGAGTGACATACACTTCATCGGTGAGAGTGCCTTGGAGGAAGGCGTTATTCACGTCCAGTTGCTTAATATCCCAATTGCAACTGACCGCAAGCTGGAGCGCAACACGAAGAGTTATGGATTTCACCACCGGACTAAACGTTTCCGCATAGTCGATACCGTACTGTTGATTGAATCCACGAGCTACCCACCAAGCCTTATACATGTCAAGGAGACCACTAGGCAAATACTTTAGTGTATAAATCCACTTAGTTGGAATGACATTTTGATCAGGTCATGGAGGGACCAAATCAAACGTACGATTCCGAATTTGAGCATTGAACTCGGATCCCATGGCATTTCGCCAATACGGATCTCGCATCGCCTGGGTTACCGTTGTGGGAATAAGTGGTTTTGTGTGACTGGCTAAGAGATTAAACTTAGTTTTGGGTTTGACAATATTATTTTTGCGGCGAGTTTGCATGAACGTTTTCCGGTGGAGGTGGAGGTTGTGTCGTGGTGGAAGAAGATGAGGCATTGATATTTGTGGGCTGAGTGTTTGTGGGCTGAAGAGTTGGTGGGTTTGTATTTGGGCCTGGAGGTGATGGATCTAAAGTATGTGAAACTCTAGAAGGGCCTGTAGAATTACCTGGCTGGCCCAATCGATGAGACAGATCTCCATGGTCATCGTTTACACGATTTCCAGGTTCTGTAGCAGACGATGGGTGTGAATGGTGAAGGTCTGAGATCAGGGGCGCGAGTTGTGGTGGAGCTGATACGAGTGGCGCAGGAGTGAGAGGAACAAGAGTGGAGGTGGAATCGTTGGGATTTTCTTCCGATGCGGGAGAGAGATCCGACGGAGTCACGGCAAAAGGGAAGCTTGATTCCACAAACTGAACATGTCGAGACGTGTACACACGACCGGTAGCAACGTGAAGACAGAGATAAGCGCTTTGGGAAAGAGAATAGCCAACAAACACACACGCCGCAGATCGATCATCGAGTTTGTGATTTGTGTACGGCCTAAGCCATGGAAAACAGAGGCTTCCAAATACACGGAGTTTGAGGTAATTCGGCGGCTGGTCAAAGAGTTTCGCATATAGAGAGTCATTGTTGAGCACCTCTGTAGGCATCCGGTTGATTAAATACACCGCAGTAGCAAACGCATACGGCCAATAGGTCTTTGGCATAGAAGCTTGATGTAACAAGGTGAGCCCTGTTTCAACTATGTGTCGATGCTTCCTTTCTGAAATCCCATTGTGTTCTGGTGTGTGAGGCGGTGACGTTAGGTGTGAGATCCCATGGGTTGAGAGAAACTGTCGTAGTGCTAGAAACTCTCCACCATTATCCGAGAAAAGCGTTCCGATCTTGGTGTGAAACCGATTCTCAACTAGAGCCTTGAAAGCAATGAAAATGTCACGGACTTGTGACTTTTGCTTCATTGGATACATCCAGGTATAACGAGTGTGATGATCCACAAGAACAAGATAATATTTGAAGTTTTCTGTTGAGATTATAGGTGACATCCAGACATCGGAGTAGATGTATTGAAGTGGTTGAGAAGAGATGATAGTGTTTGTGAAAAATGGTAATTTGTGGCTTTTATTGATAAGACAATGAGAACAAGGAGATAGTGTTTTTGAAGAAGTTGAACAAGGTAAAGAAAACTGAGAAACAAGTTTGTTTAAAACAGGAGGTGATGGGTGACCAAGTCTGGAGTGCCAAGATGGAAGAGAAGCTTTTGGTGATGGTGATGCAAAGAAGGAGGCTTTATTTGTGGGGTTGACTGGCCACTCGTATAGCTCATCTTTAGTTCTCCTTTGGAGCAATCGGACCCCCGTTCTGAGATCCTTCACCTGAAAATGCGCAGGAAAGAATTCAACAGACACTTGGTTAGAGTTGTACAAACGATAGACGGAGATAAGATTTTTATGAACATTAGGCACACAGAGAACATCATTTAATGCAAGGGAACGAGAGGGTGTAGGAAGAGAGGTAAAACCAGTGTGCGAGATCTGTATGGTAGAGCCATCGGCCATGGTCACTTCATCACCACCATTGTACAACTGATGGAGAGACAAGTTGTTTAGATCGGAAGTGAGATGATGTGTAGCTCCGGTGTCAAGAAGCCAGTTGTTGGAATTCATTGGCGCTGCTGCGGCCATATTTGCTCTCGGTTGCCATGGGGAAACATTTGATGGAGCACGATAGTTCGACGTGAACGACCCGTCCGTAGTTGAGAGCAACGGCGAGCACTGTGACCCTGAATGCCACAGAGTTGGCAACGCCCTTGATATCCACGTGTAGTAGAGGCATCGGGACGTGGCTGGAACTGCTGTTGCTGCCATGTTTGCTGGTTGCGGTTGTTGTGAAATGAGCGCTGGTTACGGTTGTTGTTACCACGATAGTTGGCGGTGTTGTTGTTGCCACGATAGGTAGCAACATTAGCCGAGACAGGGAGAGATGGAGTTGTAGCAGTGGTGGATTGGAGCTTAGCTTCATGGTTAAGAAGCTTCTCGTGAACTTCGGATAACGAGGGAGACGTATCACGGCCCTCAAGTTGATCAACGACAACTTTGTAATCATTTGGAAGACCTTCGAGAACATGTTCTACTTGATCTTCATGATCAATTGGTTTGCCGAGAAGAGCCAATTGATCGAAACGTGTCGTATGTCCCTGAAAATACTCATCGATGGACTTACCATCGAAGATCCTGGTTGGTAGTATATGCTCCGGAAGTTCAACTCCTCGGTGCAATAGTTCCTGCAAAAGATAATTGGCGTTCTATAGATCATCTCAAATACTCACTGCAAATTATAACTAAAGCAACTGATTTTGTTTTCTTTACCAGATCTCCTAAAGTTAAGATGCAAATCTGTTTCACAACGGTGCCTTCTTCTAAAACTGTGTATCCCGGAGCGTACAATTCTTCACGAACCTCACTGGCCTGATAGATCATATTAAATTTAACCAAATCGATAGTGTCTAATAACTAGATATATAGAACTAAAGACAAGAAGAAGAAACTTCCAATTGCTCACCAGATAACTCGTGAATTCTGGTGAACACCCACGGAAAAGTGGAAGTCCTCTTATAATGCCTTCATATAAAGTTTGAGACATCTGCAAATCACTAGAAAATTAGAAAACCGAGAAAAGCTAAAGAGTTTTGGAAATTAATAAAATCAAATATCGTAAGGAAAAGTGGTACCTTGGCTCGGATGGAAGCCGGAAAGTCTTCAATGATTTTGTTGTTGTAATCATCATTGTACTTTATCTCCATGTGATCTCTAATTTGGTTTCCCAAATCCCGACCAACGTTGGTATTTGTCAAATAGGTCTCCAGGTTCTCCATCTTCTCTCTCACTATTTGAGCTCTTGATCTTCTCCCCATAAGACTTGTCCAGTTGACACCAAGGTATGTCCACACAATGAGACTCAATATGATTAAACCAGCCACAGCTACCATCTCCTTCAAATTAACAGCGTGAATGTCTCCATAGCCTGTAAAAATAATGAATTTTTATTTTATTTATGAAAGCAATGCTAACGAGAAGCTATATTTGTACGATTAAATCTCTACAAGATAATTACGAGTAAAGATAATGTTTATCTGAATAGTTGAGGACTTACCAACTGTAGATACGGTCGCAGTAGCAAAATAAACAGATGCGATGTATTTCTCTAAGGTGTTGAGCTGAGTGAGGTTTTTATCACCAACTTGAATTGGTGTAATCCAAGTGGGATGTACCTCCGGAAGACCCTCGGAGGTGGTGGCTAGATGGTAAAACATACATGCAGTTATATGAACACAATATAACTGCACATATATGAGTTTTACCACCCTGATGATGGTGTAGTAGTCCATTTGGTCCTTCTCGAGCTTATGGAATAGCTCCTTCACCGTTAAAGCTCGAAAAACTTTAAGCCACATGGCATAATTCCACTGCATAAATATGCAAATAGATTAGTAAACTGCATAAGTAGGCGAAGCAAAATCTGTTATACTTATTGACCAAACCAACAATTCATAAAAACCATACCCTAAACATAACTGAGCCTTAAACCTTCCATGATGTTTAAAAACATTTGGTTGTTGAACTTTGATCTAATATTTTAGTTTATTCGATTTCAGATTGAATCAGAACTGAAAGACAAACAGTAATGGAAACTATAAAGAAATCTTCATTTTAAGTAACACTGGATTTCTTAAATCAATATTATATCATCGAACTCTCTTCTGTCCAAAGGTTTCAAGAAATGCCAAATTTTTGAAAAAGTTTTCATATATCCAAAAGATATACTAATTCCTCGGAATAAAATTGTTTAAAAAAAGAACTAAAACCTTGATATTACCTCCTAGACCTCTAACGCTACCAAACATCAGCAGACCTAAAGGTTGGTCCGGTTAATCGAATATGCATATCTTTTTAAATTTTATTTACATATCTTAAATAAAATATAATACGTACGACACTTTTCAAAACTTAATTTCAATTCAAAGGGAATATCAAACCCATTTCATAATTGCATCAAACCAAAACCTAATTACAAGCAGTTTGATTTGGTCTCAGTTTTAGAAAACCGCAAATATTTAATTGAAACTGAATATGCAACCGATTTATACAGTTTAATTATCAAGCATATTGTAAACGAATACCTTCGTATTGAACAGGAAGACAGGTCAAGTCTCGAACTCTCAATGATGTGCAAATTAGTGGTCAACTTCAAATGTGACTGCAAAATAAAAAACAAAAAAAAGACAATATTTTACATCAAGGATGCATTTTGTAAAGGAAATGAGGAAAGTGACATTATATTTCAGCAAGTAAACAAATTGTATAATAAACTCGAACAACATAATAGATCTCAGGTACGTGAATAAAGAAAAAAAAAAAAAAAAACACAGGTAAAGGTCTTGCCTTTGAAATAAGGGATAGCGAAGGATGAAAGAGATTTCTAAAGTCAAAATTATATCATCAAAATGGTGAAGCTGAGAGACATTTCGTATTTCATAAAAGCTTGAACTTAACAGTGGTTTACAAGCTTATATATAGCTCAAGGTTAGGGAAGGAGACAACTTAAACCCTAAAGCATTTGATCTAAATCTATCGGTTGATCTTAGTCTTGAGATAAGGATGCCAACACTCCAAACTTGTTTTCCGTAGCACACAGGACGTCTCTGGATTCATCTCCTCCTACTTTAACGGCTTTACCTTTTGTTTTGTCGTGTTGCAGAGAAGGAGATGAACGTTGTGCTTGATTCCGGTTGCTGCAGTTTGTGTTGGGCTTTTGTTTGATTGGGCCCTTGTTTCAGTGTTGATATTGGGAGGCAGTAATTTCCACACCTCTAAAAGATGACAGTAATAATTTATTAATAACCGACTTGTTTACACTTACACGGTTACACCTCTTAAAAGCAGACTTTGTTCGTTCAATAATGAAAAGTTGATGAATATAATCTTGGAAATTCCAAGTTAGTTAATAACTATAGTTACTCTTGTAAATTCAAGTGGCTTAAACAGATTTTTTTCCCGATTTTACCCTTATTTCTTTGGTGACAAAAAAACGTATTTACGAAAGTGTCATTAATGAACCGGGATAATAATCTACAAAAGACGTTTTCCAAAATAAGTCTACAAGAATAAATCTACAAACATGACCGTAGAGTTATTATGAAAATTGTAGACTAATTTTTCGATTTGTAGATTTATATCGTCTTGTAGTATTCGTAGACTTTTGTTTGTAGATTTATTTTTAGTTTTCGTAGACTTAATTAAGTTTGTAGAGTTATTTTTGATTTTGTAGAGTTATTTCTATTATTGTAGATTTATGTTTGTAGACTTAATTCATATTGCAGTAGACTTTTAAAAAATGTCAAAGTCGAAGTGGCATTTTGTAGATTTTATTAATAAATTTGTAGATTTATTGTTGTGTAGCCGTAGATTTATAGTTTTCTTGTAGACTTATTTGTTTTGGCCATAGATTTATTTTTATATTTGGTAGACTTAGTTTACATTACTGTAGATTTATACATTGTCTTGTAGATTTGTTATTTGACAGTAGATTTAAGGAACATGCTAATTTCCGTTTATGTTATGGTAGATTTATATTCTTTGATTGTAGATTTATTGGTGCACAGTAGATTTATTCATTGTTGTGGTAGACTTATTTATAACAATTGCAATGATCATAGACTTTTATTTGTATATAACAACAGACGTAAACTTAGATGTAATGGTTGAAGACTTTTGTTTGTATATTACAATAGTAGTAGACTTAATTTACTGAGCGTAGATTTATTTAAAACAATTGCAATGGCCGTAGACTTTTATTTGTTTATTACCACATAAGTAGACTTACTTCGTTGAGTGTAAACTTATTAATAGCAATTACAATGGTCGTAGACTTTTGTTTCTATAGTACAATAATATTAGAGTTAATTATTAATTTTGGTTAAAATTTTGAAATTAATAAAATTATTTTGGGTAAATGTTTTCAAAAATATTAATTAATTATTATTTTTATTAATTATTAATATCTAATGAATATTACATTAATGTTTAATTTTAAACATTAATTAATAATTTTTATTAATTAATGTTTAATATTTATTTTTGATTTTTGATTTTTAATATTTATTTTAAAATTTTAACTTTTTAAATTTTTTTTTAAATGTTTAACCTCCTTTAATTTTTAATTTTAATATTTTCTTTTTTAGTACTAAATTTTTAATTTTTAGTTTTTAATATTTTTTTAATTTTAATTTTTAATAATTTTAGTTTTAGTTTTTAGTTTTTAATTTAGTTTTTAGTTTTTTTTTATTTATTTTGTTTTTAATTTTAAATTTTAAATAATTTTAGTTTTCAATTTTAAATTTTAATTTTTTTTCATAATTTTTACTTTTTGTTTATTAGTTTTTTTTTTTAATTTTAAATTTTAAATTTTACCTTTTAATTGTAAAATTAGGTTAAGTTAAATTTTTGATTTATCTTTTGATTAAGTTTGATTTTTGGTTTAGATTGAATTTTGGTATTGATTTCGGTTTAATAAATTAGTTTGATTTTGGTTTTGGTTTAAGAAGATGGAGTGGCAATTTTGTAATACATGACCTCTTAAAAACTTTACAAGTCTTTTTACACCTTTATAAAATATAAAGATTATTGTAATTATTATTAAACTTTACAAGGTTATGTTTATCCATTTTCTCTTCAATAATCCACCTTTTGACGGTCAAAAAATATATTTAATAACCAAAATATCCAACTGAAACCACACCCATCAACCATATTGAGCATTTAGATATTGAGTATTTAGACTTGGTTCATTTAATCGGTACCAGAAATGATCAACATCATCTAAATGGTTTTGAATTCTAAGGGAAAAATTAACAAAGAAGTGTTGGCGATTAATACATTTTATGAAATGATACACAAGGAGAAGAACATGTGCAACAATAGGCTTTTGGTGATTTGGTTGTGAACAAAGTTGCAAACTTTATTAAGTATTTGGGGACCATCACTTCATCTTCATCAGGCCTTGAACTTAGTTAGAAACCATACTCTCAGTCTCCTTTACGAACCCATCTCCGGTCCAATCTTTATCAGATTTCAAGCCTTTCCTCTCTGCTTTTCTCTGCTCAATCGCTTCCTTCTGTCTCTTGACCAAATCCGTGTGTGTTGTAAAGTATTGAAGCGAGTGCCTAGACCAACAAACACGACAAATAAGCAAAGCCAAAATTAGACATAAAAGCTCAAAACAAAAAAGTTGTTCATACCCTCTGAAGTCTTCTATCGTCGAGAAGTTATGCTGTTTCATGAAATCTTGAAGCTCGGCGCATAGAGTTTTCACATGACCATAGCCGTGCACCATCACACCGGTGCATACCTTGCAAGCAACTCAGTTTCTCAGAGAATAGAGTCTAAAAGATAAAAGTGTGGGACAGTGTTGAGTTTGGTTTACCTGAACAGTATTAGATCCGAGGAGAATGAATTCAGCAGCATCATATCCAGTTTCAACACCTCCAATACCCGAGAGCGAGTAATCTTTATCACTGAACTCAGATTTTATCATTTGGGCAATGTTCATAACTTTCGCAAGCGCAATTGGCCTAACAGCCTTGTAAGAGTAGCCTCCTGGAGTCGAGTAACTGCAAAAAACAGCAACAAACATCAACAAGAGTTGCTAGAAACCTTGACAGTGTAAGAACGTTATAGCTCTAACCCTTCAACGCATGGCTCAGGATGCAGCGTCTTCAGATCGATTCCCATTACACTCATGATTGTGTTGATGGCTGAGACTCCTTCACATCCTGATTTTAGAGAAACCCTAGCTGGCTGTTTAAAGCAAAAACGAAAACGGACTTTGGTTATTATTATGCATCAAAACAGAGGAGTTATGTCAGAATTAGGCAGAAGTGAGACCTCTGTTATGTCAGTAATGTTAGGAGTCATCTTCGCCCAAACCGGAACTGTCGCTTTAGCGTTAATCCATCCGCAAACCTCGTCCAGAAGCTTACAGTCTTGTCCAACAGCGGCTCCCATTCTTCGCTCTGGCATACCATGAGGACACGAGAAGTTGATTTCCAATGCATCCTACAGAACAGTGATCCAAAATCAGTCTCTTAAACAGTTACTAAATCAGACAAGGGGAAAGAGAAGATGTAAGATAACTCACAACACCGGTTTGCTCAACACGGTCGATGAGCTCTTCCCAAGCGGTTTGGTTGTATTCCTCCATGATGGAAGCGATGAGGATCCGATCAGGGTACTCTTTTTTCAGTTGCTTAAACTCTTTGAGCATGGTTTCGAGAGGTCTGTCACTGATGAGCTCTATGTTCTGCCACCCAATTACATCCTTTTTGGCTGCTCCGTTGGATCCGGCACGTAGCCGAGCGTATCGAGGCGTTACGTTGATAACTTTTGATGCATCTAGTGACACCTAAATCATCCAATCACACAGACTCAGTCCAGCATTCAATCATTATCATCATCATACACATACACACCCAAATCCTCTGTTCTTGATTCTAATCAAGAACTGGAAACCAAGCGATTGCTTCGGAAAATCTCAAATTTTGAAATCTATTTTAGTCAACCATCATCTAATGTAATCATCAATCTGCTCTCAAGATGGAGAAAAGTCAAATCAATTTCTCGGGAACCGAAATGCTTACGGTTTTGGCGATGACGCCACCCCAGCCTTCATCGAAGGCTCTCTTCATGACGGTGTAGTTGGTACCGGGTGGACCCGACCCGATCACGAAAGGATTCGGCATTTTCAGGCCATTTACGGTGACACTGAGATCAGGCTCCGTCTCGGCGGCGGCGGCAGAGATCTTAAGACCAACTCTAGTCGTCGGCGGTAGAAAATTATTCCGGCGAGGGGTGGGATCGAAGTCAGCTGATAAGCTGGTTTTAGAAGCGAGTCCGGAGAAGCGAGTCAAAGCGAAACTCATGGATGCCATGATTTACACAGATCAATCTGGAAATGGCGGAAATGATCTTCTGGTGAGGAAGAAGAAGGGAGACGTGAAACTCACGGACAACGGTGGACTTGAACGGAGAGAGAGAAGATAACACGTTACAAATTTGTTGATGAGAAATCGAAGAAGTTCAGAAGTTTAAGATGAGAAGTAAGAGAAGAGTGTGTTCTAATAATTGGTCAGTTTCAACTTCATGCCATGTGGAAATAATTCAAGTTACAATGAAAATTCATAGTTAATTAATGAATAATGGACTGAAATAATAGAGATCCATGATCTTCCTTATGATTTAGAAAGAAGATTAATCTTAGTTTAAGCATTTTAGTCATGTGTATGTAACAACTCACTTCTCCTTTATCTTATCTTGTTGTATTTTTCTTTTTCTGCTCTGTCACCGGTTCATTAATTAACCGAGTGGATAAAACTCGATTCGTACGCCGACTAAAGATTTGCATAAATTGCGAACACGCAAGTCGTAACGGAATCCACCGTGAGGCTAAGGTTGTGTGACTTGTTTTTAGAAATTAGAGTTTATGGGCCCTAATAGAGTGGCCCAATAGCCTATACGTCACAGTTAGACAAAACGTGAGTAGTAATCCAACACGTGTACGAGGGAATGGACACAGCTAGCAGTTGGTGGCGCTCATCGTTTCTCTTCTTTTGCTAGTTTGACTCTACTTCTCTCGTTGGAGTTTGCCTAAAAGAGCTTTTATAAGATTTGTAAAAAAGTTAAAGTCCATAATCCCTCTCTAGAATTTTTCTAAGATCATACCAAAATACTATGTCAAGTATCACAACCTCACCCCATAAATTTTTCTAACAAGCTCTTGACTTCATAAAAAAACAGAAACAAAATGTGCCTTGTAGCTGGTAAATGACTGCAAAGAATTAAAGATTTTCTTTTCGAACTTTCCAGATTAAAGAAGAATACTGATATTGAATGAAAAATCTGTAAATGTCGACGCTACAAAAAAATTGATTCGAGTTATATATTTTCGAATTCTGTTATTTATTTCATTTTATAACACAGAATGCCCACGGCCTCTATAATTTTCACGGTCACAAAAATTTAAGCGAATTTCTATATTTCTTTTCTGTTATTTATTTCATTTTCTACTTCTCTCTAGCTCTTCTCTTCCAGAGTTTCTTCTTATCTCCTTTTTCCGATCAAAAGTTCAGTCTTTTTATTCTCTGAAGGTAAACATGGACGCCGGGACCGCGAGTTTACCCTCGGAGAATAAAAAGACTGAACTTTTGTTTTTAAAGACTGAATAGTAAAGATAAATGCATAATCTTGTGAAGCCCGAAGATAATCTTATATATAATAAGAGGATAACTCTCTCCAGTTGAGTGACACCTGACATCTCTTCATAAAAAAAAAAAAAAATACAAATGTTTTTAACTCTTCATCTTTAAAACTGAATATGAGTCGGTTATCCGGGACTTTTATCTTACCCACGACCCAACCCGCCTTAACCAAGTATATAGAACACAGGGCACGCTCAAGAGAGCTATCCGCCTTCCTTTGCTTTCCTTGCTTAACACTTTGCTAATCGTCTGTTTGCTGCTCATCCAACTATCTATCTATCTCTTTGTCCGATGGTGGTTAATCTCTCCTGACACCTGCATCTCTTCATAAAAAAAAAAAAAACACAAATGTAACTCTTCATCTTTAGGAATACCCGGGGCTTACCCACGCATTACTCCCAAGTATAAAACATAAATTTTTAATTTTGTTTTGGGCTTAGAATTCTATTCCCAAAAGTAATGGGCATTAGAATTTAGTCCAATATAGTGCAAATGAAAGGAAGTCACATTTCCTATTTATAAAGAAAAAGTTAGCTTCTATTGTGTGTATGTTTCGATGTGGGACAAAATAAAAAAAGGGAAGGAATACAGATTTTTGTCCCACATCATTTGTATCATTAACAGAAAGTTTCAATCACTACTATAAATATACATCTTTAAAAACAAGTCGTATCATGTTTTCAAATCTTTGAATAAATAGAAAAAAAAAGAAAAAAAATTATTTGTTTAAAGAACTGAACGGGACCCACATTCCAAAGACAAAGAACACAAAGGCGGACAAAAATTCAGTTCTACCGGTTTTGCTTCCCGAACCGTTTTAGGAACTTAGGCTGTTGTAAAAAAAAAGAAAAAAAAAAGAAAAAAGAATTGAACGGGTCACTCTCACGGGTCAATAGTTAAATTTTTTATCTAGGTGATGAGTTCTGATCAAAGGTGAAGACGTTTATTTAATGAATCAAAATTATGGTGAAATCTGGGTCTGTCGTTAAGCAGGAAGAAGACAACAGCTACGACAACATCACTCAAAATTTTGCAAATTGTATCAGAGTGACGGAAGCAAGTTTGCAAATTTTCTGGATCTGGGGAGACAGAACGAAGAGGGAAGAAGAATGGTAGAACTCGAGGAAGATGAAACGTTCTTGACTTCAATGCAAATTACGTAAAACAAATTTTTTTTGACCTTTTTTTTCTTAAGTGGACAGGTGTTCTTCTCTTAAATTCCAGAATTTGTTGTTATTGGTGGAATATCCACCTTTGGTCTACCGATGTAGCCGGACTTGTGATGTTCGACGTCCATATCTACGTGGCAAAGACACGAGAGAGTTTTTTGGTTTCTTCTGTACTTTTGTTCTTTGCTTGTTTGGAGAGAGATAAGTGTAAGATAAATTAGATGCACATTGTCTATATATATATATATATATATATGGAAATGCCATTGTAATATATGAAGATGACGCCATAAGTAAAATTGTATTAACTATATGATGTTAAATTAGAACGTTTTATAATGCTTATACAATAATCATACATAGCTCATATTTCAACTTTTATATTCTTATTTTTCATTCAATTTGGATGCAAGTAATATGAGATCCGATTGAAATTGACCAGAAAATATCTTTTTGAAAAATTATATTAGAAATCTTATTAAAAAATATATTTATAATGTCTATAATAATCCATAATTCGGATAATATGGGGTATCTGATTTCATTCAGCTATTACCTAATTTCCATGGGTGTCAAATATTTATTTAATGAGTGATTTACTATATACCTAAAATCAATTGGGTAAGAGTATTTTGGGTCTGTATGGTTCAAATTTTTAGGTATAGGTTAAAAGTCTTAGGCAAGAAGCAATATACATTTATATTTCTACCGCGTTAACATATTTGAAAAAATATAAGAGAAAATATTTACAAAATTTAAATGACAATTAAAATATAAGTAACAAAACTTTGTAATAGTCACAACCCGCGCATCGCGCGGACTTAGCCCTAGTAATACTAAACTATCAATCTAAGAGCATAAACAACGGACAGCTCCATGTAAAGCTCTTCCGCAATTTTTAATAATACAAATATTATTATTTTAATTTTAGAATCTTCTAAATTTTGACAGCCACAACGGACAGCTCGTATAGAGTTCTGGTTCTTTTAATAAAAAAAAATTGATGATGAGAAATTTGAAAGATGATGACATGAGAAACTGATGTTGAGCTCGTATGACACTCACAATGGTCGCAGTAGTCTCGGAGATCCGAGTAGAGAGATGAGAAATTTTGAAAAAGCCAAAAAAATTCTGAGGTTCTTCAATTTGTAAATTAGGGATTTTGGATTTGAAAAATTTGGATGCCAAAAAGAATTGTTGGTGAGGAGGGGAAGAAGAACCAGAGAGATTTGTAGCGTTTGAGAAGAAGAAGCAGAAGAAGATCGAAGAGAAAGGAGAAGAAGAAGACGAAGAAGGAAGAATGAAATCGAAGGAAGGAGAAATTTATTTTTTGAAGAACAAAGAAAAAAAAAATTAACATAGAGCATTCTCGTCGCGACACCTGGCGAGTAGAGACGTCTCCACAGTCTCTCCCCGAAGAGACAGATCTGGGCTGCGGGCTGGCCATGTGGATATTGAATTTCATTTTTTCTTTTTTTTTCTTTTTACTCTAAAGACCCCATAAGTTGTCTGTTCATGCTCTAACAGTTCTAAAACCATCTAGGCTTTGATACCAAAATGAAACAACTATAATTTTTTTTTTTATTATTAAAACTCAGCAAAATTCTCAAGTCAATAAAATAAATAATAAATCAATTCAACATTAATTCAGAAGCAATTAAAATAATTCATAAATAAATCTAGCAACCTAAACACCATGTTTACTAGCAATTTAAACAATTAAATAAAACAGTTCTATCATCTTCTCCTTAGGCCTTGATTCCGCGATCACGTAAACTTTTTACCTGCAACACATTACGAAAGAGTTGCGTAGATATTATCATAAATACTTACTGAGACGATCATCCCACCTTCATGCCAATTACGTGAGACACTAGACACAACAAATAAAAGGCCAAACAGACAATTCACCCTTGCGTTGGTCGATTGACGTAGATTCACAGACAGAAACCAATAATCACGAAATCGCAAAGAAACAGCGAATTAAGAGGTTTCAACACCCGAAATCGTTCATAAACTCAAATCAAACATGAACACAATAAGAACTCATCATAAACTCAATCAATTTCTACTGATTCACGAGCCTATGGTCATACACTCACCTTAAGAACGGAATGAAACTGAGAAAGGAGGATAAAGCAATGAAGATGGTATGTCTCTATTTTATATGCTTTTTATATGGTTTTACTATGCTTTTCATAAGGTTTTTAATGGCTTTTGATCTAAAAAGAGTATTTTTATGGATTTATAGTACTTAGAGTCTAAACAGGTCAAAAGATGCATTTTGGAGCAAAACACAAGATTTGGACTTCAAGACCGCTCCAGGACAGCATCGACTTAGAAGGGCCTTAAAAACATCTACTCAATGGAATTCATCATATCTAGTTCGAAGCGATGCATACGTGAGTTAGCTTTGCAACGCAACTGGAATCAATCAATTTGACCAAGTAGATTGGGAGATATCTCTATTTCCCTGAGACATATACGAGGAGCTTTAATCGGACTGCATCAGTACATCAAACAGAAGCAACGGCTTGGACCTTAAACTCAATGGATTTCAATGAAACTCGGCACCAAGATATCAGATGAGTTAGTGTTCCAATGCCGTTGGAAGTATGCAATTTGGATGAGCAGTTTAGGAGATATCACGTTTGTACTGAAGACTGGTAACAGCCGGCCGAACGCACTCAGCCGGACAGGAAGGGAATTGGCTTCGCTCGGCCTTCTCCAGGACAAATCCGCGCGCACGACCGGTCCGACCGGGAGGCAATGGACCACGATCGACCGAACATCACATCACGGCCGACCCGACGGCCGACCACAACCATAGTACGGTCGACCCGAGCTCCGCGAACAAGAAGCCCACTTATGCAGTTTGACTATTCTCAGCCCAATTAACCTAAACCGACTTGTGGAAGACCTAGGGCACTATAAATACTCTTTTTTAGCCTCTTTAGAAGAGAGAGCCGCATAGAGAGTCACAAGGAGAAGAGCTACAAGAGAGAGGCGCACTAGGGAGTTCCCCTTAGAGGGATCCTCCATTGTTTTACTTCTTTCTCATTGTTTTCCTTAGGGAGAAGATCCCTTCTTTGTATCTGACATAGAGAAGCTTTCTAAACCCTTTTCTCCTTATATTAATATGATTTCTATCTCAGATCTATGCTTGTTTACTTGCACCATGTTTGAGTAGATTTCTAGTTAGGTTTTAGGGTTTCAAAGAGTTCATGTGTTGATTATGATTTGATGAATTAACTAGGGATATCATTAGAGTCTTTGTCTCGTTTTGCACACTTAATTAATGCTAATCACTTTACCGTACATCTAGTGATTCGATCTTAGGTTGATTTGAGCCTCGAAAGTGTTGTATCATTCGCCGGACATATTCTTTGACAAGCTAGGTTTCTTAGACTGCGAAGTTGATTTACTTAACCTAGTGAACTGTATCCGAACTTGCTCGATCTAATGCTTGATTTAATCACCTAGGGACATACCAAAAGTTTAGCGACTAGGTAGATTAACAAAGGAACCGGAGCCACGACAGTGGAATGGTTTTACAATCGTGTTTGGTGTTCTAGACGGATCTTACATCCCATATCCCTAAATAGATATAAATCAATCATCAATCTTATCATATATGAATCTCTGCGAATTACCTATTGCCTAGCGTCTCCCTTCCATTTAGTTTAGTTCTTTTGCATCCAAAACCCAAACCTCCTCATTTTGTCCTAGCTAAGTTAGACTTGCATAGCTTGTAGTGCACTTATCTGCTCCTTGTGTTCGATAACCCGTTACTACACCTGACCTGTGCACTTGCAGAATCAGGGATAGGAATAGGTAAAACCTTGATCCCGCATCAAATTTTTGGCGCTGTTGCCGGGAGCAAGACAGCTGCCTACGAGTTCCCGAGAGTAGCTTAGTCTAGAAAATTAGTCATAGACTCGAGTATGTAACGGTATTGATCCAAATAACGTTACAGATTTTTATCATGTATAAAAATTTTGTTCATCAAATATAGAGAAATCTGTTTTCGTTAAACAATGCTTATTCGTTCTTATTTTTCATTGGGTAATTTTAATGTATATGCATAAATAGTGGTAAATTTCGAAGAGCAAATAATTATTAATTACTCCCTCTGTTTCAAAATATAAGGGGTTTTAGACTTTTAGTTTTGTTTCAAAATATAAGGGGTTTTAGAGTTTTAGTGTAGAATTAAATGTGTTTTTATTACTTTAGATTATTTATATTCTGCAGATTTGTTATTTATTGGTTGAAATATTTTGGAATTGATGATAAAATATATTTTATTTTTAAAATTACAACAATTAAATAGCTATACAAAAACCTTAAACCCTCTATATTTTGAAACAGAGGGAGTAGTTGATTTAGGAGAGAGAAAACTAATTTAACAAAAAATATTTTTTTTCTGTTACAAATAATTACATAAAATGTCATTAATATAAACTATTATCCGATGGAACAAACTTGACAACATTGTTCATTAACCAGACAAATAAGATAACAAATACATTAAATTATATAAAAGAAATAAATACGATAACACAGAAAATAACATCATTGTTAACCATGATGATAACATAGATGATAACATTGACAATAACTGAGTTAATTCAATGAAAGAAATTTGTGTCAGTTAACTTTGTTAACATTTAATTATCGTGAAAATTAATATGTTAACCTTGTTATCACTCCATACAAAGTATGAGTTATTGATAAACTAATATTGATAATAACTTAATTAACAAACATCAACATTGCCGTAACTAACATTATTATTTTCATTATCATTACCAGAGTATCCGTTCATTATCGTGACAATCGTCATCATCCTCTTCTTATTATTTTTTATTTTCCTTTTTTACTTAAAATAACAAAAAAAAAAGAAAAAGAAATCAAAACCATAAAGCAGAAACAAAATCGTCCTATACATGTTAACAATGTAGTGATAAAAGTGTTAGATAATTTAATGATTATTGAGGGTCATTTTCTGCAATTTTGTTTTTTTTTAGTATTCTGCCTTTACACTATTAACAATTACATGTTATTAATTATGATTTAAATTTAAATTTTATATAATAAATGCTAAAGATAATCGTAGTTATTATAAACAAATATCAAAAATATAAGGTATTAAACAGTTTTGGAGTGTTTGGAAATTTTTCTTTTAATATTAATGGATATTATAGTTTACATATATTGTAGGAGATTTACCTGATTTATAAAAAAAGTAAAAGTAAAAGTAACAGATTAAAAAATATGATTTTTGTAAATATAATTTAGTAAAAGGGATGTTGTGGCTTCAACCCATAATCTGGTAATCACTAAAAAAATGTAAATACCATATCTAAATTAATTAGAATCATATTAATGAACTAAACATAGGACTTCGTAAATTTAGAAAAGAATAACATGCTTACTTAGACAACATATCCAAAGAAGTTATTATATTTAGAGAGTTGTTTTTAAAATAATTAATAATAATAAAGTATATATATAAAAGACAAGGAAAATTAATTTGATCAACAACTATATAAACGAATGTGAGGAGGTAGTTTTATTATTCAGTATTCTCAAATATTTTATTTTCTCAAAGCATTCTTAGTTATATTTTTAAATCAATCAAAATATCTCTAAAATGGATCCAAATATGATGATAGAAAATGAGTTAACAGACAGTGATGTTTCCAATTTAAAAGGTTTGAAATTACCAAAATCAAATATGGAGAAGATATTAACTCTTTAGTTAAAATGTCAGAACATGGTCTTCATATAGAAATTCAAGATAATTACTGTTTATATCCGGTAGTGCTAAAAAAGACAAAAATGGTTATTATATCGGACTTGGGTGGAGCATTATCAGAAATACAAAAGAGCTGCAAAAAGGCCAACTCATCCAATTATATTAGAAAGACGGCAGATTTATTTTAACTATGAAGTGAGTCTTCTTTTATTTTTTAAAGTTATATTGAATAAGTGATTTTTTTCCTTAATAAATCTATCTAACCATGTTTATTTTTTTATTTTGTGGTTAATTATATTTTGGATAGGTTTTATGTGTATCTAAGTAAATGAGTAGCATGTCAATTTGCATTGTGATAATTCATAGCTATGATCCTATAATTTATAGATCTTGTTAAAAGCCTTATACACAACCAATCAAGCCTTATACAAAACATTATGGTGTAGTTTATGAAACATGCTTAAAATTTGATGCGTGGAAAATTATATATATGAAATGCATAATAAAATTTGTAATTTTTTTTTTGTAATGACAGTCAAACGCCTGGTGCACAACGATTAGCATATCAGACAGGAGAAAGCAGTTCAAGTCAAACAGAAGTGGATCCAGATATGATAATAGAAAAAGAGTTAACAGAAAAAGAGTTAACAGACGGTGATGTTTCCAATCGCAAGGTTTATTTACCAAAATCAAAGATGGACAACATATTAAAAAAGAGTGGAGTTAAAATGCCAGAAATGGTCTTCAATGGAAGTTCAAGATAATGACAAATTTATTCGGTAATGCTAAAAAAAGACAAAAATGGTTATCATATCGGACTTGGGTGGAGCAATATCAGAAATACAAAAGATCTGCAAAAAGGCCAACATTCAATTATATTGGAAAAGATGGCAGGTTTATTTTAACTATGAAGTGAGTCTTCTTTTATTTTTTAAAGTTATATTGAATAAGTGATTTATTTCCTTCATAAATCTATCTAACTAATGTTTATTTATTCTTTTGTGGTTAATTATATTTTGGATAGATTTTATGTGTATCCTAAGTAAATCAGTAACACGTTAATTTGCATTGTGATAATTAATAGCTATGATTCCATAATTTACAGATCTTGTTAAAAAGTCTTATACAAAACATGATATTATGGAGTAGTTTATACGAAATGCTCAAAATTTGATGTGTGGAAAATTATATGTATGAAACATGATAAAATTTGTAACTATTGTTTTTGTAATGACAGTGAATCTTCTGGTGCAAAACAAGCAGGTCAGACAGGAGAAAGCAGTTCAAGTAAAACTTCATAGAAAAAGTAAATGATAAAAAACAAAATATGTCGATCAAGCGACACAAAAATTGAATGGTGAATATATTAAGTGTGGTATAAATATTATAATTTGCTAAATATCAAGTACTTTAGATGACCGAAATATATACTATTTTTCTATGAATAAAACTGTACTATTAATATATTAATTCATACTTGATTATTAGATTTTTATATTGAAAAAAAAACAAGAGTGAATCTAATCCAAATACTAATTAAATAACATTGCTAATCTCAAAATAACAAAACGAACAGAGAAAGAAATTTTGTCCCATAATTGAGAAATTTTGTGCCAATTTCTTAGTTTAGAGTGAGAATCTAGAAGATTTTGTGTTGTTTTTCTTCTAATTAAATAAAATTATTAATAAACATTTAATTGCAAAGTAAGATAACTTTATGGAATAATATCTATTTTTTCCATTTTATATGAAATTTTATTTTTGTAGATTTCATTGAAATAAGAATCATTTTGTGTTTTATTTGCTTTTGTTAAATTTCACTTGACAAGCTGTAAATTAACATTAAATGGATTCTGTAAAAACACTTTGTGACTCACACCTAAAATTAAATTAATTCAGAAGATGCAATGTATTTAGTTAATTCTAATGTCCAAACAAGGTAAAATTGAATGAGTTATGTACCATATTATCTCTTAAATTCAAACAAAGGTGATGAACCTCTCATATATATAGATACTTTTAGGCATTTTAAAATCTCACTAGGAGAACCGGGAAAACCTTTGGGTTGTGGGTTAACCCGGTCCAACTGGTTCAACCGAGTTCACAAATTTATAAAAGAAAATGTCATATTCTATCCTATATAAAAATTTGACCAACTCTCTCACAAATTTGTGAACTCGGTTGAACCAGTTGGACCGGGTTAACCCGATGGAGAGAGGGACATGTGACTCTTTCACAAATTAAAATCTAAATCTACAAATTTATTTAACGCAGCACTCTGTCTGTCTTTTGAAACGTTTTGTCTTCTCTACTTAAAACATTATTTTGTTCAATGGGTTACAACTAATGTCGGTCTTCACCAAAATGGAAACTGTTTTTTGTGTCTTTCGCGAAATCCCACCTAAGAGCATGTGCATCGCACAGTTTATGGGAGTTTCTTCCCACCAAAAAAAATAAAAACAAGATATTTTCTGACGTGACATGCTGAGTTGGAGAGTTCAAGAGAATAACGGTTATGTGGGAAGAGCTGTGGAATCGATTCTCTGACACAAGCTCTACACGTGTCAGCACCCGATTGGTTAATGGTTTTTTTTTTCAAATTTTTTAAAGAAACTATAGCTGCAATGTACATGCTCTAAGAGCATGTGCATCACACAGTTTATGGGAGTTTCTTCCCAAAAAAATAAAATAAAAACCAAATATTTTTTTATGGCATGCTGAATTGAAGATCTCAAGAGAAAAACGGTTATGTGGGAAGAGGTGTGGATTAAAATTAAAACTGGATTTTATCAACAAAATTGCGTTAGAAATGTAAAGTGATATTTTTATAAAACAAAAACAAAACTCTAAAATGGCACTTTTTGTAAAACGGACGGAGTACTTTTTTCTCTTTCTTTTAAGTATTAGTAGCATATTCGAGTCCATTTGCAATTAATCTTGTAACAAATAATTATTCCACATTTTAGTTATACTGTCAGTGAAACCCCAACTCGAGACTATGTCGATGTGTGTCTCAGTTGTGATCAGATTTGAGATATATAAGCACACATTCGAAATCATAATTTGGTAATTGATAGTTGTGATCAGATTCGAAATAATTAAGCACACATTCGAAATCATAATTTGGTAAATGTTTCACCTAATAGCATAACTTCAAATAATCTCTCTCTAAGCATATCAGCTAGCTGATAACTTGTGTTATTAGCTTCATCCATCAGTGTATGTCCCCAGACATAGACAAAGAAGACAAAAAAAATTGTAATGTACATGAAGTGTACACAACCAAATCACCAAAAGATTGACGTTTGATTATTCGGTTACTAATGAAGTTTTGAAAATACACCAATTGAAGATAAACAATAGGCTTTTGGTGATTTGGTTGTGAACAAAGTTCCTTATTAAGTATTTGGGGACCATCACTTCATCTTCATCAGGCCTTCTTGAACTCAGTAAGAAACCATACTCTCAGTCTACTTTACGAACCCATCTCCAGTCCAATCTTTATCAGATTTCAAGCCTTTCCTCTCGGCTTTTCTCTGCTCAATCGCTTCTTTCTGTCTCTTGACTAAATCTGTTGCTCAACCGACACGATCGAACGAGGTGCATTTCCTCGCTCAATCTCGTATCAGTCAGTCTACTACTCCTGCTTGCTCTTGGCCTTGGCTGCTCCTGCCCTAGGAGGTGCCCGATTGTGGTGCCCCACCCAGTTCCAAAAACGAGGTCAGCCGAGGAACGCCGAACAGAGACGAAAGTTGGCCATAGTGATCCGGGAGTCCGCAGCCGGACGGACTATTCTAGTGAGTCTAGTGACTACTAGAGTAGATTTGAGTCATTGCCCAGATCGTTACGCTTTTTATGCGGGTCGGGAGGAACGCCTCAGGTTGAATGAATACGAAAGGGAGTTGTTTCAGATTCTCTTTCAGTTGTGGAAAGAACCGTGTGTGTTGTAAAGTACTGAAACGAATGTCTAGACCAACAAATACAACAAATAAGCAAAGCCAAAATTACACATAAAAGCTCAAAACAAAAAAGTTGTTCATACCCTCTGAAGTCTTCTATCGTCGAGAAGTTATGCTGTTTCATGAAATCTTGAAGCTCGGCGCATAGAGTTTTCACATGACCATAGCCGTGCACCATCACACCGGTGCATACCTTCCAACCAAAAAGATAGCAACTCAGTTTCTCAGAGAATAGAGTCTAGAAGATAAAAGTGTTGAGTTTAGTTTACCTGAACAGTATTAGATCCGAGGAGAATGAATTCAGCAGCATCATATCCAGTTTCAATACCTCCAATACCCGAAAGCGAGTAATCTTTATCATTGAACTCAGATTTTATCATTTGGGCAATGTTCATAACTTTCGCAAACGCAATTGGCCTAACAGCATTATAAGAGTAGCCTCCTGGAGTCGAGTAACTGCAAAAAAAACAGTAACAACATTAACAAGAGTTGCTAAAAAAAACCTTGACCGTGTAAGAACGTTATAAACTAACCCTTCAACACATGGCTCAGGATGCAGCGTCTTCAGATCGATTCCCATTACACTCATGATTGTGTTGATGGCTGAGACTCCTTCACATCCTGATTTCAGAGATACCCTAGCTGGCTGTTTAACATAAAAAAAAAATGCAAACGGACTTGGTTATAAAGGCATCAAAACAAGGGCCGGCCCTGGGCTAAGGCATGTAAAGCCTAATGCTTTAGGCGCCAAAATATATGGTTACTTGGGGGGTGCCATATTACAAAAGGTTTCTTTAGTATAGTGGTTTGAGAGTATCCTTACCTTTACTAAGGATGCGAGTTCGAATCCTATAGCACCGAACTTTTGTAGTGCGCTTTAGGCGCCATATGACTACGGGCCGGCACTGATCAAAACAGAGGAGTTATGTCGGAATCAGGCAGAAGTGAGACCTCTGTTATGTCAGTAATGTTAGGAGTCATCTTCGCCCAAACCGGAACTGTAGCTTTAGCGTTAATCCATCCGCAAACCTCGTCCAGAAGCTTACAGTCTTGTCCATCAGCGACTCCCATTCTTCGCTCTGGCATACCATGAGGACACGAGAAGTTGATTTCCAATGGCATCCTACAACACAAATGATCCAAAAATCACTCTTTGAAACATATACTGTTAGGATTTAGAGGCTCAAAGTCAACACCTTTAAGAGCTTAAACCCCAACACACCAAGATATGAAGTAGTTTGATTTGTCAAAGACTTAAACTTGAAAACAGAGAGTTGTAGAAAACAGAGCAAAGAGAGAGTTTGGAGAAGAGACTAGAGAGAAGGAGAAGAATGGAGCACACACACAATTTAACCAGTTCACGCCATTAACGAGCCCATTAACGAGAGGGTCGCTACGTCTGGCCAAGACTTTGCTCGGAATCTACTAGAAGGAGAACATAGATACAAGTGTTACACTCATCATATCATATCACTCATGAACACTCATCATATCACTCATCATACAAGAGAGATCGATAAAAGCTTATACCTTTAACAATGGCTTTCTCTCTTCTTCTTCCATTTGTGTGCTCTGCTTCTCTCTCATGTCTTCAACCTCCCTTTTATAGTGGAGACAGCTCCAGACCTAAAGCAACTCGCCAAACACCAAAATAGATTGATTTTTTCCAGTCTTGTGGCAGACATTCCGTTTTAATCCACAACAAGATAAAAGCAAGTGGCTTCTCCTTGTGGTCCCAAAAGTAACTCAACCCAAGATTAACTCACCATAGTGATCATAGTTACTTTAACTATAGTTCTTCTTTGCTTGACCCTTGTTTGGACTTGTTACCTTGCACATCAAGTTCTCATCTTCACGTATACTATATCAGACAAGGGGAAAGAGAAGATATAAGATAACTCACAACGCCGGTTTGCTCAACACGGTCAATGAGCTCTTCCCAAGCGGTTTGGTTGTATTCCTCCATGATGGAAGCGATGAGGATCCGATCAGGGTACTCTTTTTTCAGTTGCTTAAACTCTTTGAGCATGGTTTCGAGAGGTCTGTCACTAATTAGCTCTATGTTCTGCCACCCAATTACATCCTTTTTGGCTGCTCCGTTGGATCCGGCACGTAGCCGAGCGTATCGAGGCGTTACGTTGATAACTTTTGATGCATCTAGTGACACCTAAATCATCCAATCACACAGATTCAGTCCAACATTCAATCATCATCGTCATCATACACATACACACCCAAATCATCTGTTCTTGATACTAATCAAGAACTGGAAAATAAGTGATTGCTTCTGAAATCTTAATTTTGAATTCCATTTAGTCAACCATCATATAATTCAATCATCAATCTGCTCTCGAAATGAAAAAAAGTCAAATCAACTTTTAGGGAACGAAAAAGCTTACGGTTTTGGCGATGACGCCACCCCAGCCTTCATCGAACATTTAAACATTTTAGTCATGTGTATGTAACAACTCATTTCTCCTTTATCTTATCTTGTTGTATTTTTCTTTTTCTGCTCTCTCACCGGTTCATTAATTAACCGAGTGGATAAAACTCGATTCGTACGTAATCCACCGCGAGGCTAAGGTTGTTTCTAGAAATGAGAGTTTATGGGCCCAAATAGAGTTTGAAACGGAATAGTGGGCCCAATAGCATATACGTCACAATTAGACAAAACGTGAGTAGTAATCCAACACGTGTACGTGGGAATGGACACAACTACCAGTTGGTGGCTCTCATCGTTTCTCTTCTTTTGCTAGTTTGACTCTACTTCTCTCGTTGGAATTTGCCTAAAAGAGCTTATAAAGATTTGTAAAAAGGTAAAAAGGTTAATAGTTAAAGTCCATAATCCCCTCTAGATTTGTCTAAGCTTATACCAAAATACTATATGTCAAGTATCACACCTCACCCCATAATTTTTTCTAACAAGCTCTTCTTTATAAAAAAACAGAAACAAAATGTGCCTTGTAGCTGATAAATGACTGCAAATAATTATAGATTTTCTTTTCGAACTTTCCAGATTAAAGAAGAATACTGATATTGAATTAAAAATCTGTAAATGACGACGCTACAAAAAGACACAGAATGATATCGAGTTATAAGAAAAAAAAATAAAAAATGATTTGAGTTATAAAAATCTGTATTGTGTACATCGAATCGAAGGACACAGAATGACCACGGCCTCTATAACTTTCACGGTCACAAAAAAATCAAGCGAATTTATATATTTTCCTTGTGTACTTATTTCATTTTATAATATAAATAAATCGGATCCGGCTTGCATTATGTCAAAGAAGCAAAATCAAAAGTCTGTTTACCAGTAAAATACAGATCGCTCGCCATTCTCGAATTTTCTTCTTCTCTCTTAGCTCTTCTAGAGTTTCTTCTTATCTCCTTTCTCCGACTAAAAGTTCTTCTTTCTATTCTCCGAGGGTAAACATGGACGCCGGGACCGCGAGTTTGATCCGATCTCCCGTTTTACCTCACAAAACTTCCAACGACGGTGCTGGATCTATGTTTCTCACGGCCAGTGGCCCTGGATTCACACGTTTTGCTTCGGGACGTCAACTTCGTTTGAGTGTATGTCCTGAATCTCCTACTCCTGATTCGATTAACCTAATTTTATCATTAAAAATGGATTTCCCCCAAATCTTCTGCTCCGGTTGTGATCAATCAATCTTATTCTAACCTGAACCTTCATCGTAATCGGCCAAAAAGCCGGAGTTTTCAGTATGGAAATGTGGAATTTTCACTCTAATTCGTGTTTTATCTGCTTGCAGCAAAACGCGTTTGCGAGGTTCTCAAGACCACTGCCAAGCTCAACGATATCTGCGAAAACTCGGCGAAGCTTTGTGGTGAGAGCTTCAGCAACTAACGATGCCTCCTCCTCTGATCCGTCCTCCAAACCGATCGCGCCGCTTCAGCTGGAGTCGCCTGCTGGTCAGTTCCTGTCTCAGATTTTGGTGAGCCATCCTCACCTCGTGCCTGCTGCTGTCGAACAGCAGCTCGAGCAGCTCCAAACTGATCGGGACTCTGATGGACAGAGCAAAGACGCATCGTCCACACCTGGAACCGACCTCGTTCTCTACAGGTTTGCTTCACTCTATTGAACACTTGGTTACCAGAAAAAATAGATTTCTAAACACAATTATGAATGAATCTAGGGATTTGAAAATTTGGAACTAATTCTTGTTGATCTTGATTATAACTTTGCTTGTAACTAACTAGTGAAAGAGACGATGTGAGTTTTTCTCTGTGTGTAGATAAATGATACCATAGGAACACTTTGATTAGTTGTGTTAAAGTATACATCGGAGACTTATTTATAAGATGCAGAAAGATTGGATATTTATTTGATTCTGAATGAGAATCTGTTTTGTGGTGTTTAGGAGGATCGCAGAGTTGAAGGAAAACGAGAGACGAAGGACATTGGAAGAGATTTTGTACGCACTGGTGGTTCAAAAGTTCATGGAAGCCAACGTATCGCTTATACCATCGATAAGCCCATCGTCAGATCCGTCAGGCCGGGTTGATACTTGGCCGACGAAAGTGGACAAACTCGAGCGGCTTCACTCTCCCGAGATGTACGAGATGATTCACAACCATCTAGCCTTGATTCTCGAAGCAGAATGGGTGACCTGACCTCTGTTGCACAGATAAGCAAACTCGAGTTGGACAAGTCTATGCTGCTTCTGTCATGTATGGATACTTCTTGAAGCGGGTGGACCAAAGGTTTCAGCTAGAGAAGACGATGAAGAATCTTCCTGGTGGGACTGACGAAAGCAAAACAAACAACCAGAGGACGTGACGTTTCAGGCTGTGTCCTCTCACCGAGGTTGGTTCGTTTGCGGTGGAGTTAGCGCGAAAGGCTTTGGCAGCGAGATTAAACCGTCCCGGTTAAGGACGTACGTGATGTCGTTGATAGCGAGACGCTTCAGAGATACGCCACGATAAGATCAAGAGAAGCAGTTGGGATCATCGAGAACACACCGAGGCATTGTTTGGTAAGCCGAGATTGTGATAACACCGCAAGTCACTGTTGATTCATCGAAAGACGAACAGATAAAGATCAGCTTTGGTGGGATGAAGAGGCTTGTCTTGGAGGTTGTGACTTTCGGGTCGTTTCTCTGGGACGTTGAGAACCATGTAGGTGAAGGTACCACTTTGTATTGAACTGAAAAAAATGGTTTGTTGTATTGTAATGTAATGAAGTTTGACTAACTTATGTAACATTAAGAAGATATATGCCCATTACGAGAATCATTACATTTGTATGAATATGATATTAGCTAGCTAAAGATGATGGAGATGCTAAACTAAGAAGGAAGCCTACCTAGCCTGCAATAAGACTTAACAATCTTAAAATGTATGTTACAAAAATTACAAGGAAATTTAAATTTTATTTAGGCTTTTTTCGTTTATCAAACAGAGGAGTGAAGAAGCTGTTTAGAAGTAACCCATTTGTGCAAAACCTCACCAAAGACATTGTAGAAGACGATCTCTGCATCTGAGTGAGTGAATCGAGCAGACATGAACCCTTGACCATCGTAATAGAATCTCACGGACTTGGGGTTGTTGGTCGTTGGGTCAACATCTCCTCTCCAAGCTTTGGAGCCAGCACCACTCGTTAGGAACTGGATTGGGCTGTCTTCGTCACTGATATGTTCAAGACAGTGGTCGTGTCCGTTCATGTAGAGATCGACACCGTTCTCTTTCATAATCGGAAGAAGCTCTTCGATGAGCTCTTTGGTGTCTCCGTGGTGTCCAATGCTTCTCATCGCGTGGTGTCCGACGACAATCTTCCACGTCGCTTTGGATCTTTTCAAGGAAGCTTGGAGATCACGGAGGAGAGATTTGACGTAAGAGTTGCGAGATGGGACCGCGCGCCAGTCGTATGTGTGACCATCTGCTTCTGTGTAGTATTCTTTCACGAAAGGAGTCGTGTCGACGAAGAAGATCTCGACTAGCTCTGCGTCGACGACGAATGATCGGAGACAGATCCAACGGCTGTCGATTTCCCGGAGAACGGAGCTTAGCTGAGCTTCTGCGTCGCCTCTGTAGTCATGGTTTCCCAAAACTGCATCATTCGTATACGAGATTTGATGAGAAAACGAAACAAAACAAAAATGTTCACAAAATTCATCAAAAATGAGGACAGTTTTGAGATTTTTAAGAAACTTACCACTGTACCACTGCTTCTGGAGACTTGGAGCTGTGTAGATATTAGAGAAAGATTGTTCGAAATTTGGATCGTGTTCACTAAACAATCCATTGTCGTAGAAGTTATCTCCCGTAGACACCACGAAATCTAAATTAATCTTTTCTCCAACTTTCCCCATCTGTAAACGGACAATTAAACAACTAAACAGTTACTTAAATGTGTCTTAAATGTAACTGCTGTTTCTTAGTTGTGTCTTAATTTTTTGTTTTTATCTGTCTTAAATTTAACTTGTGTACGAGTGCAAATATCAATTTTGGTATATTATTAGAATATTCCAAAAATGATTGGGACACAAACCTGATAGGCCACGGCAGACTGATTAAAGGAACCACGGCGACCCCAATCTCCGATCGTTATAAAACTAACGGTGCCGTCACCCTTCGCCGGTTCGACAAATCTCTGAAGCTCACCGTTGGACACCACGACGGCGGCGCAGATACACAAAAGAAAACACAGACTTGCCGCCGTAGCGGACATTAACGATCTACGAGAATCCATAACTATTAATCGTACGGCTTACACTATATGTACGTCGGACGGAGGAACAGAATCTGTACTTTCGATTTGTATCTCTCTCTCTATAAGAATGGAGAAATAGAGAGAAGGAATTTCGGATAATTAAAGGAGCGAAGCCGAGAGAGGAGAAATAAGAATGGTGACGGAGATGATGAGGGAGGAGGGAGAAGAAGATGCTTTTTAAACGGAAAAAAATTAAAGGTGAGAAAAAAATAAATGAAAAAAGGTGCGGTTAGAGATGCTGAAGGATATTCCCAACCAGTAGCCGCATCTTTTGTTTATTTTTTTCTCCTCCTCTGTTCTCATATTCTGACATCCACCTCCCATTTTTTGTTCTGAATCTCGAAAATTTTGGTTCGTTTGTGGAAAATTCCAAATCCTACACACAATAAGTGGATCTCTAGTTTGTGGTTTTGAGTTTTCGTTAAAAATAAGGAAATTCGTGGATCACTAGTAATCAATCTTTTTATGTAGCGTTATGTAGCGTTATGGGGGTTAGTTTTAAAAGATTTTGATTATTCGAAATGATTAATTTAATTATTGTATCTAAGAAAGGAAACATTCTGTGCTTAGCCATGGGTGGGCTTGATTTTTGTAATTGTAGTAAGAAAAGATTGTGTCACGCCATCGTGTTGCTATTGGACCACATACTTCACTTCCAAACAAGTTCTAACAGCGGACACTGCTGCTATAACCTCTCATATTCCGACACGTAGCTTCAACAGTTTTTGTGTCACTTTGCACTTGCCACTTCCAGTACTATTCTTTTACTATTGTTTTCGTTAAAGTAATTGTTTATTCGAGATTAAAATGTTAAAAGGAGCCCGGTCGTAGTAGGAACGGAAGGCCCAATGATCGGTGACGGTTGTTTCGGTCCTGTCTTGTGGTTACAAAATAAGCGAAGTAACCGATCCGGTCTATTTATGTAGACCAAATCAATTATTAGTGTTACAGACCGGCTCAGTCTGAGTTTAGCAAGAAGACCATCGTGCAGTTAACAACCAAATAAATTGTTCTGTAAAATCCGGATTTACAAGCTAGATAAACCAGCGCTGGGTCACATGCTAATTTTATCCACCAGTTTTTACGGTTGTTAGTGGGAATGTTCTGAGGTTTCATGTCACAGTTGATCTGTAAATGTGAATTCTAAGATTGAAATAAACAGAGTCTGGTTTTTTCATCGAAAAAGGTAAATCAGAGTTGCAATAGGTAAATAAACACAAATAAGGTCTGTGCAAAGATGTTCTCAAGAGAAATCATGGTCTCGTCAGGTGTTGGGACTACTCACAAGCCGAGGTGATATGATAAGTGATAACAGAGGGAGACTACTACTCTTGCTTGTGACTCTTCTCTAGTTCCTCCAAATGCTCAAGATCTTTGTTGTACTTGCAGATACGGAAGATGCACCTGTCATCCAATATGATAAAATATCAGTCAATTTACATAATTGTGTGGTATGGTATATACGTGTGTATGATAGTTGACAATGTACCAGTAGAGAAGAATCCCAGCTGCACATAGAACCACATTCCGCTGAGCCTTGTAGTACTAAGGTCAATGCAAAACACAAGTAAACTAGTAAGCAAGCTGAAAAGCAGATAACAGATGGAAAACCGTGCAGTGCAATCAATCAGTGTGAGCAGAAACACAAACAGAAATGCTCAGATAGATGTTGCAGGATAACATAAAAAGACATCTGGACTGGTAAAATCTCATCAACAATCAACCACCAACAATAACATACTCACAAGAACACAGCATACAACGAAACGAATGTTGCACATTCTCACAAATCTATCAATTAAAAGACATCCCGATGTTTCTACCAGTATATATAATTCTTTGCAACACCCTACAGCTTCTTAACAGTGAACAGTAGCTAAGTTGCTATAGACGAGAGCTCGGATGAGACTAATACTAAGCAGTATTGCTAACTGTATAGCATCTATATACATACAACTTCTTTAAAACAAGTAAACACAATCCTCACATTACTGTAATCTTCATCAAAGATGCTATATATGAACTAAAATAAGCGTTAACTCTAGTATCAACGATGAAGTCACGATCATAGGGTACATGTTCTACAGATAATACTTACTGCTTTCTCGGAGCGATCCCTCTCTGTAGCAGTGCAAACCTCGGATGAGCACGTTAACCTATGCTCATTCTTCCAGTAAATATCTGAAACGAACCAAACAATTCACATGAATAAATTACCAAATTCAAACAAAGGAACCAAAATCACTCCCGAGTCTCGACTCGAATCCCTAACAATCAAGTCAATTTCGATGCTAAACAAGAGAAAGCGATGGAATCAGACGATCTACGAGGTGGAGAAAGAGGCGATTACCGAGGAGTTGAAATCCGGCGAAGGCGACGACGGAAGCGGCAGGCTTGAGTATGAGGGAGACAAGTGACACGATGCGTTTCTTCAAGAGCATAGGGTAAGGGAGAGTCAAGATGACGGCGATGGCGACCTCGGCGGCAACCACGTACGACAGAATCAGCCATTGCAGTGCCATTTTTGTTTTGTGTGTTGGTTTCTTCTAGATCTCTCTTTGGATCCTCTTCTTCCGTGTGAACTTGGCAGGAAATTAATTGTGATCTGGATTCTGCGACAACCGGACACGTATCAACGCCGTGTGCGTGTGCCGGCCGGTCCGTGACTTTTTTCTTCTTCATAATATTTTAGTTGATGGGCCTCCTTACGGCCCAACAGTCGGTTTTTGTCTTTTCATCATTCTCGCACCATTTGAATTTGATTTGTTCAAAATTGAGAATCCAATTTCAAAAGCACCCTAAATGCTACGGCCTACGTACATGGCTAATCACCAAACCACGACATGTGGGAGTGGGACAAACCAAACTCTGCCATAGCCCCAAATCAATACGATTAAGGAAAAATCGGACAACCATCTTCTTCTTCTGCCAAGACCAGTTAATATATATGAGCAATGTAAAAGCATCAGAGACAAAATGTTCCGCTAGGGACTATAAACTTGGGTATGATCATTACATGTAAATTTAGCAGGTTACATACGATAGTCCAACTACGAGAGTGACGTAACGTTATGATATCTGAGGTTTTTGTTATGTTTTCATATATTAAAAAATATAAAAGATGTAATCCTATTTGGGCTAGTTGCTAGGTTCTCTCGTGGTATTTGTTCGTGGGCTAACACAAACAAAAAAAAACAAAAGGTAGGAATTTGTTTGGCCTTAAGGTTATCTTATATTATACTCTGTCTTTCTCACAATATAAGCTGTTTTAGTTTCTAATTTTTATCCTACAATATAAGCATTTTTGACATTTTAATGCAGTTTTACTTTATAGAAAATTGTGTGATCACTTATATTTTGCAGTTGTTTTTTTATGATTGAATTGGATTATATTTAGTCTATATATTAAGTGATTTCTTAATTCTTGTGTTTAAGCTAAAACCGCTTATAATATAGAACAGAGGGAGTATTCGATTTCGACAAGTATTCGATAAGATATTACCAAATCTTCGTTCGTGCATATGATTAAGAAAAAAAAAGTTATTTTAAGTCAACTAAACTAAAGTAACCAAAAAAAATTATTTACTTAGAAAATGTTACGATACACACACTAGGAAGTGAAAAAGGTATTAAAATACGAAGACCAAATTATAAAATAATGGAAAAGAAAATCTAATGTAAAAGGTGATATTTTGTAGGATTCATCATGAATGAACCGACGTGGAAAGCTAGTTTTGGATAAGCTTTGATTATAAATCAAAAACAGAAAGAAGTGTTACAAAATAAAAATATAGAAAGTCAAATAATATCGGAATCTAATCCTAATTCCTAAACTTGACTTCAAACTTTGAGCAAAAAGTTACAGAAATACCATAAAAAGTTACAGAAATACCATAAGAAAATAAACTTAAACGATTAATCTGAAATATAGTTATATCAAAATGTAAAAATACAGTTGTTTACTTGTTTTCAGTTTAACAAAAAGAACATACATTTTTTTATCATAAAATAAATACAATCACGCGGTGACACGACACAGGCGCGCGCGTGGCACACGACAACGTACAGTCTCACGTGTTCACCACACAGTCACCATTTAGGTAATTAATCCACGCCAATAAAGTAATTTACAAATTCGTCATAAAGAATCTTATCCAGATCAAGATTGGGCCTGGCCCATTTTACGTCTGCAACTGCCATTTATTTAACTTTGGGTTTTCTCGTACGGAACAAACTCTCTCTCTCTCTCGCTTCTTTGTTCTTTCTTCTTGCTTCTTTTCTCTCTCGCATTGCTGTTGTTGACTCTCATTTCTTCTCCTTTTGGATTACCTTAAACCTTTCGCCTCAATCCTCTCCTCTTACATGCGAGCTTATCCGATTCTCAGGTTTTGATTGCCTCAATACTCGCAAAATGGTTTACGCGGCGAAGAAATTCATCAACAACCCCAACGGTTCGTGCTCTTCCTCTCCGTTCTTCTCTTTTTTCTATTCTTCAGTTCGCGGCATCGCGAGCTCTCTTTTCTGTACGGGGTTGTTGTTTATTTTTCCGGCGTAGAATAGGTCGATGAGAATTGTGAATGCTCTCGCGAACTGTTGACCTATCTCATAATCCCGATTGTGGTTACTGTTTGCCAATTTCTTTGCATTGCGTGCTTTTTGCTCATAAAACTCGTCTTCGTCTATTTTCCGCATTTCCTCCCCCAATTTTGCTCGAAATGCTTCTCCGTCACTGTGTGTTTCGCTTGCATGGTTAACCGGATGACGAATCGATCATGATTTTCCATAGTTTAGGCCTTTAGGATATAATTTCCTTACGGAATTGCAAGTTACATTTCTTGAAAATTGAAGTAGCGGCTTGATATCTTCTTAGTAAGATAATGGAATGCATACTGGTTTGGTTTTGGCAGATGTTGTGACTGAGTTCATCGAGGGACTTGTGGAAACTTATCCTGGACTCCAGTATTTGGATGGCTTTCCTGAGGTTAAGGTGGTGCTACGAGCTGATGTCTCGGCTGAAACGTATGACAAGGTTGCCGTTATATCAGGTGGGAGTTTTGTGGCTTTTATATTCTGTGGTTGATTTAGGTTTTTGAAACTCTCTTAAGCAATGCCTTTTTGCTTTACAGGTGGAGGCAGTGGGCATGAGCCGGCACATGCTGGCTACGTTGGAGAAGGAATGCTAACAGCTGCTATCTGTGGAGATGTCTTTGCCTCGCCACCAGTTGATTCCATCCTTGCTGTAAGTTTTCCAAATGTTTTTGTTTTATCTCTTTTTATCATCTGCTTCCTTAGAGTGAAAGTGAATGATCATTTTTTTTTTCCAATTCCAGGGAATTCGTGCTGTAACTGGTCCTCAGGGATGTCTTTTGATCGTCAAGGTAGTGGGAGTGGGAAAGAGAGCTGCATGTGTGCAGTGTCAATATATGAGAGAAACTGTACATTCTTGTCTTTATGTTTTTGCTTTAACCTTGTTTCTCTCTTTACAGAACTATACGGGTGATCGCTTGAACTTTGGTTTGGCTGCTGAGCAAGCAAAATCTGAAGGTTACAAAGTAGAGGTACTGCTCGTTATTGCGTTTTAGCCTTTTTTTTACGGTTAAGAGCTGTGGAAGACAAAATGACATGATCTCCTTTGTAGACTGTGATTGTTGGAGAGGATTGTGCTTTACCCCCGCCCCGTGGTATCGCTGGTCGCAGAGGGTTAGCAGGAACAGTTCTTATTCATAAGGTTCTCTCTACCTTTTCCTTTATTTCTCTAACCACAATCCAAAGTAGTGTGTGTAGTGTTTATTTACTGTCAACTGATATCTTCTCAAACTGTGATGTCTGAGAGATTGGGCTGCTATGGCTTTGTGATTTTTTAGTTTAGCTTAGTTTGAACAAGCTTAGAATCATTAAGAAGTTTTGAGCAGAAAGCTTCAAGCATCAGTTTTTAAAAATTTATTTCTGCTTGGTCAAGGATAGGTTGCTGGCGCAGCAGCAGCTGCTGGTCTTTCTCTAGAAAAAGTTGCAGCAGAGGCACAATGTGCATCGGAGATGGTTGGAACCATGGGTGTTGCATTATCTGTTTGTACGCTTCCTGGGCAGGTTACATCAGATCGTCTGGGCGCAGAGAAGATGGAACTCGGGCTTGGAATTGTATGTTACTTTCTCTTTTTTTTTTACAAGTTTGCATGACATCCATTTCGTTTCAGTGTTTTGGTTCGTACCTTGACTTCTTACCGCTCATTTCAACTTTTCTCTCAGCATGGAGAACCTGGTGCTGCTGTGGTTGATGTTCAACCTGTGGATGTGGTGGTTTCACATGTTCTTCAGCAGATACTTAGTCTTGTATGTGCTTAATTTGTGTTGTCTTTATTGTACTTTCTTGTCTCCATAGTCATAGAGATGTTCTCATGCTGATTATTAACTTACTATCTTGGAGTAGAATCCTCTATACATAATTTTGTCTATCAACTTATGCATTATTCCAACTGTTTTTCCACTCTGCAGGAGACCAATTATGTTCCAATTACACGCGGTAACAGAGTGGTTCTTATGGTTAACGGGTAAGCCCATTCTTATTTAAACTGCAGCAACATGCTACGTTTGTGTTATCAACTTTTGGCTCAAAGATTTAGTGATTTCCTATTATGTGAGAGCTTAGTTTTTCCGTTTCAATTTTTGCAGCTTAGGAGGCACCCCTTTAATGGAACTTATGATTGCTGCTGGAAAAGCAGTCCCGAAATTGCAGTTGGAATTTGGACTTGCTGTTGATAGGGTGTATACAGGACTTTTTATGACTTCTCTTGAGATGGCAGGTGAATTTCAGTTGTCTCCTTGATTCAGTAAAGTGTTACATACTCCAGTCGTTATGCTGACAGCGCTTCCTTTTCTAGGGTTCTCGATTTCAATCATGAAGGCTGACCAGTCAATCTTAGAGCGATTAGATGCTCCAACGAAGGCTCCAAATTGGCCTGTTGGTACTGATGGTACGTGAGATGTTGTTACCTGTTTTCTATTTGCGTGACTTATCTTCAGAACCTAGTCTTAGATACACAATCTATGTGCTGCATTGCAGGCAACCGGCCACCTGCGAAGATTCCTGTTCCTCTACCTCCTTCTCGATCAATCAAAAGTGTTGAGGTTTGCATTGCAATTCTGATAAATTTAGGTTGTGTAGACTGTAGAAGGTTTGGTGATAAATGTTTCTGGTAAATTTCATGACAACTTGGCAATACCAGTCTCAGAGCCGGCCCAAAGAGCTGAGCCAACAAGGTCGAACTCTTGAGGCAGCTATTGAAGCAGCAGCAACTGTGATCATCAGTCTAAAGGATAGTTTGAACGAATGGGATGGAAAAGTAGGCGACGGTGATTGTGGGTCAACAGTAAGTCTCGTTTTTATAACATGTTTTTTTTTTTTTTTTTCTGGCTCATTTCGTATATCTTACATGGGCTTGCATTAATTGTGTAGATGTGCAGAGGTGCAACAGCTATTCTGGAGGACATGAAACACTAGTGAGCCTTTCTGTTACTCATATGCATCTCTTTTATTGCTCTTTATGTTGAGTTCTTCACATAGATTCTTTACAAAATTCTGAACCTTTTGTGTCTAGTTATCCACTCAATGACGCTGCGGAAACAGTGAATGAGATTGGTGCATCAATCAAAAGAGCCATGGGAGGGACAAGTGGAATAATGTAACTCATAAAATTATTTCACATTTTAATTCACTATAGACTGGGTCACGCTTTTGGTTTTCAATAATAAAGACATTACGGTTTCTGTTGTGGAAACAGATACCATCTCCTCTGCAAGGCAGCATACGCGGAGCTAAAAGCTAACGCTCAGTCAGAAGTCACTCCCAAACACTGTGAGATAATGCTTTCCTTGAATGTGGTTCATATCCCAATGGTCACGTACTTGTTTTGACTCGGCCTTTCCTTGTGAAACAGGGTCTGAAGCTCTCAAGTCATCAATAGCTTCTGTCAGCAAATATGGTGGAGCAACTGCAGGCTACAGAACGATGCTAGACGCGCTCATCCCAGCTTCACAAGTTCTTGAGGAGGTGACAAAGAGCGGCTTACATTCTTACTTTCACACTGAAGATTTAGATATTGCGAGTACTAATGAGTGTGCGTTTTTGATAAGAGCAGAAGCTAAGGGCTGGAGAGAACCCAATATCTGCTTTTATTGTGTCAGCTGAAGCAGCAACTACAGGAGCGGAATCAACCATACAGATGCATGCACAGGTGAGCCATTTCGGCCTGCTTTAGCTTTGTATGTATGGTTTACATTTTTGGATCTGACTGGATGAGATTGTGGAACACAGGCTGGGAGATCAAGCTATGTATCTGCAGAGATACTTGCAACGGTGCCAGATCCAGGTGCAATGGCCGCAGCAGGATGGTACAGTGCCGCAGCAAGAGCCGTGAAGGAGCAATACGAAGGCTCGTCATGATCCCCGGAGGGAGGAGTAGCTTCTTCTTTTATTTCCCCGGATTTAAGTAATTGGGATTTTGGTGGTGAGAGGCTCTTTTGTCGTCGTCGTGTATGTATGTTTAAGGATTTTTCTGACTCTGTGAGGGCTCTCCGTTTATGCAATTCTTTTTTGGGTGGTGCGTAATACTGTGAGAGTTTATAACTTCCGGAGAGACTACTATTCATATTGGATTCTTAAACGACTCTGAAAAAAAACTTATTCTTCTCTTCTTCATCTTTATTACAACTATATACAAGAGTCGTGCTTCTTTGTTTTCTTTCAACTTTTGGTACGTAACGACACTTTTTATCTCAATAATCTTAACTTCAAGTGTCAACATATTCGAGAATATCCTTTTCTATGGCTTGAAGAATTTTTGTTACGACTTTATGATATAGCCATATCCCGTAATTACCTCTCTATAACAGTTTTGTATATCTTCTTATTCTCATGTTTATCTCTTCCGCAGCATCTGTAGTCTGTATATACTCTGATTTAATTCCCATTGTTTGAGATCGTCTTAGAAACTTAGTAAGGTATTAGATTGACCGATCTACATTAAAAACTCATGTTTCTGTAATCTATAATCTTGGGAAGAGAAGACAGATTGACCGATCTGTGCAGTGGTTATAGGAGTCAGGAAATAGTGTGTATTCCTATTTATTATATACATACTTGATGTTTTTCTCTCTTTAATGGTTTAGGACAATAATTTCTTTTGAATAATCACAAATGGTGTGTTACCAATGCCTAATTCAAGGGGGGAAGAGAGAGTCAAGTGGAAAAATAAGAGGGAGTTAGTTAGTTACGTGAATGTCTTAAATTAGTTTAGAGAGTTTTGCTTTACTTACTTTCTTTATATCTTGTCAAAGAAAAACTTGTGATATCTAATTTTCCTCTTCATTTCAGGATAACACACAGAAGACAATGGTGCTCGCTACAAACTCTGACTCGGAAGAGCATTTGCATTCCACATTCGCATCCAGATATGTGCGCGCTGTTGTTCCCAGGTTCAAGATGCCAGACACTTCCATGCCCAAAGACGCTGCCTATCAAGTGATCAACGATGAGCTGATGCTTGATGGCAATCCAAGGCTTAACCTGGCTTCCTTTGTCACCACCTGGATGGAACCTGAGTGTGACAAACTCATCATGGATTCTGTCAACAAGAACTACGTTGACATGGATGAATATCCTGTCACTACCGAGCTCCAGGTTCCTCTCCTTTCCTCTCTCTCTGTCTCCATCTGTTTACAAATTGTCAAATACATTATCTCTGCTTTTTTTCTCAGAACCGGTGTGTAAATATGATAGCAAACTTGTTCCATGCTCCGGTTGGAGAAGACGAGGCTGCTATTGGTTGTGGAACCGTTGGTTCTTCAGAGGCCATAATGCTTGCCGGTTTAGCATTCAAAAGAAAATGGCAACAGAGGAGAAGAGCTCAGGGCTTACCTACTGATAACCCTAACATTGTCACTGGAGCCAATGTTCAGGTCTCATATAAACTTTCTATTCTCATCCTCCAACCATCACATTTGCTTTCGGTTAATTGATCTGACATTTTAATCTTGTGTATATACAGGTGTGCTGGGAGAAATTTGCAAGGTACTTTGAGGTAGAGCTGAAAGAGGTGAAGCTACGTGAAGACTACTACGTGATGGACCCAACTAAAGCTGTAGAGATGGTTGATGAGAACACAATCTGCGTTGCAGCGATTCTTGGATCCACACTTACAGGAGAGTTTGAGGATGTGAAGCTGTTGAACGATCTCTTAGCTGAGAAAAACGCAGAGACTGGTTGGGATACTCCTATCCACGTTGATGCAGCTAGTGGAGGATTCATTGCTCCTTTCCTCTACCCGGATCTTGAATGGGACTTTAGGCTTCCATGGGTCAAGAGCATCAATGTCAGTGGTCATAAGTATGGACTTGTCTATGCAGGAGTTGGTTGGATTGTCTGGAGAACCAAAGAGGATCTGCCTGAGGAGCTTGTCTTTCACATCAACTACTTAGGAGCTGATCAACCAACTTTCACTCTTAACTTCTCTAAAGGTTTGTGTCTTATCCAATCAAATTCATTTTCTTTAACCGAAGAGACTCAAATCTTTTTTTCAGGATCAAGCCAAATCATTGCTCAGTACTACCAGTTTATCCGACTAGGCTTTGAGGTACTTACTTGTTTGTTCTCTTTATATATCTTCTTTACAGTTTCATCTTTATTCTAAATAAGCTTTCTTTCATGATTGAAAAAAGGGATACAAGAACATAATGGAGAACTGTATGGACAACGCGAGGAGGCTAAGAGAAGGAATAGAGATGACAGGGAAATTCCACATTCTGTCTAAGGACGTTGGTGTGCCACTTGTAGCATTCTCTCTCAAAGACAGTAGCAAACACACTGTGTTTGAGATCGCAGAGTCTCTGAGGAAATTCGGGTGGATCATACCGGCTTACACTATGCCTGCAGATGCACAACACATTGCTGTGCTCAGAGTTGTCATCAGAGAAGACTTTAGCAGAGGACTTGCAGACAGACTCATCACGCATATCATTCAGGTGCTCAAAGAGATCGAAGGTCTTCCTAGCCGGATCGCTCATCTAGCCGCTGCTGCTAAAGTTAGTGGCGAAGAAGAAGTCAAGACTTCTAAGATGTCGTTGGAGGATATCACTAAGTACTGGAAACGCCTTGTTGAACACAAGAGAAATATTGTCTGTTAGGGGGTAAGCAAGTCTTTACGTTCTTGGTAATAAGGTTTCTTGATTTAGACCATTCATCACAACTCTTCTTGTTTTGTTTTTCTTTTCTTCTTTTCTTGCCATTACCTATTTTTATCATATTGATGGTATCATATATACCACAAGAGTGATTTCTCTACTCTTCTTGATATCTGTTTCTTTTATCTTCTGAACTAAAATCTCCAACAGATGAAGAGAACAAACCGGTACTTAACCAACCACTAAATGGATTGTTCCTCTGTAGGCAAAAACATGCTAAGACCACAGATCATTTGGCAAAAAAATAAAAATTTGAAGAAGGGACTATATATTTCACAGACTACCAATGAAGCAACATGCTAAGACCATAAAAGAAGCAAATAGTCACACAACAAATTAATATACAACAAGGTCTGAAAGATTTCCCTCTCAGAAGAGTTTTCACAAAAAAAACAAAGGGGGAATAACAAACCATCATCTTCTTCCTTGAATACCTCTCATCCATTCTGGACTTTGATCACGAAGATGTCAAACAATCACACAGACCATTTCTTCCAGGCAGAATCAGGGAGATATGGGTTCGTAGGGATATGTCAACCATGGATGCTTCAAAGCTTCAGATGCAGAAGGTCGTTTCTTTGGATCAACTTGGAGTAAGTGTGTCACAAATTCTATGAAGCCTTGGTCACCCATTGGCAGTCTACGCCTTAGCGATGACTTTTTAGGTATCAAGTACTCCAAATTGTTGCTCTCCTGAAATATATGGAACACAGACCCGTTAATACCATTTCGAAATCCAATTCTACAGCCATTAAAAAATTGGCTTCAGTAATAGCAGGAGCTGCATTAGTATTGGACTTTTCATTAGGCACCTGGTTCCTCTCGTATAACAAATGATTTTTGGTGAAGTACTTGCATGTATCAGGTCCTTTGGCAAGCATTTCTTGGTCAATGGATCCGATTATACCGATGACCCTAGCAAGCAAAGTAGCCGGAGAATCATTTTGGAAAAGAACCTGCAAAAGCAGACACAAGTTACGTAATAGGTACTCCTAGCTAGCTTAGTGGATTATTGTGAAAAAGGTTTTAACAGGTTTCATCAACGCTGGCACTTACGTTGCCGGTGCACAGTTCTGCCAAAATGCAGCCAAGTGACCAGATGTCTATCTTTTTATCATATGGAAGCCCAAGGATGACTTCTGGAGCACGGTAGGATCTAGACTGGACATAGGAGCAAAGATGATCTGTCTCAAAACAGCTACTTCCCAGATCAATAACTTTGATTTCGCATCTGCTGTAGCTTTTGATTAGTATGTTTTCAGGTTTTAAGTCGCAGTGTATAAGGCCTAGACCATGCAGAAAGTGCAATGCTTCCAAGCACTGGATAGTAATTGACTGCACAAGATTTGGATTTAGAAGAAAATGAGAGAGCAGCGAAAAAACATATATAAACCTTGTATGTAGTAAGGATGTTGGCTAACCTGCAATCTTGGCATTGTGAAATAAACCTCTCCACCTGATTCCCTATTAAACGTTTGGAACTCATACAAGTTTGCCTTGAGAAGTTCACATACTATTAACAGGTGCTCCTGCAAAACAGAGATTCAATTTAATTGCAATCAGTGGTATCAAGATGCAGGCCCAAGTCAGACATTCTTTTTCTTTATTGAATATCAGTAACGAACAATTGAAACAGCATAGCACAAAAGCAGCACATTATCCAAATTCATCTACAATATCTACTCGATAAACAGAGGGAAAGATGTAGGAACTTATAAGATGATAAGAAGAATAAAGAAATAATTAGTGCATCTACTTACCCGGAAGTAGAAGTAGTCATACAGTCGAAGGATATGGTACTTGTCAGCGGGATCGTGCTGGTTGACATACTTGAGAAGTTTGATCTCATCAAGGCTCTGGTCAAAAAAGTCTTTGTTGTTCTTTATGATCTTTACACAGACATCAATGCCTGTGTGGAGGTCATGTGCTTGTATTGCTTTGCTAAAAGCTGCTGATCCAAGATGCTCAGTGACATGATAACGACCAGCTATGACAGAATTCAAAACCACATGGAAGCTCTTGTCCTCTTCAAAACCAGTCCTGGGCACAACAGAAAAAAAAAAGAAGAAACAGCTAAATTTCCTGTATGTTCACAGAATTGGGATAAAGACTGCATCCCCCATTTATACAGAACGTGTACAAACATCATTAAATACATAATACACAAACAACACAAGATGATTGTAAGAAAAAAGACCTGTTTTTCCTGTGAACAATCTTCAAATTGAAGGTCTCAAAATCCTGCTCTTGGGCTTTAATCTGTCTTACTTGCTCTTGGACCACGATTGCATCTTCATCCTCAAACAAGGTTCCCGTATCTTCTTCCGGCCCATGACTGGTTTCTTCCTCATCTTCATCCTTGCAGTGCTCCCTCCTAGTACAAGAACTATGGGAGAGTACAGATGGGGAAGAATTTCTTGAACTTGCAACCTTCTCACCATCCCTATCTCTTAAAATTCCTTCAGAGAAAGAGTCGCTGCGTCTTTTTGTCGAAGTAGCATCCATACTATTGGACTCAATTAGCCCCTTTGGCCCATAACTTTCCTTTCTCACAGCAGCATTGCAATGGTTTGCAGAATCTTCATGGGAGACCTGTCCATCAGGTACTGGAGAGGGAAAAGAGAAACCACCATTTGCAAAGCTTTTAAGCTGCATACTTGCACCTTTACCAGGTGGAGGCTTGACACCAGCAATACCAACTTGGCGATGAGGAAGAAGCTCCAAATCCCATTCACTACCTTCTCCAGGAAAAAAACCAGGTCCTGTACTCCCATTGTCATCAACATCATCGCTGATTCCTACACCAATTGACCTAACTGCAGCATTTCGATCTTCTTCTGCGCGGACATCCTTTGTACAGAATCTACCACGGTCATCCTCCACTTTCCCTTTGGTCAACAAAATCATATCATTTTCATGGGTGACAAGTCCCTGCCACACAGGTTCAGAGCCCATCATACTTAGCTCCGTTGCATCCATCAACTGCCCGTCATATCGAGCAGCCAAATCAGGTTCCTTAGTCCTTCTGTATGTTTCAGTCACTGAGAGGCCCATGGGATCATCTGAAGCGGTAACTGGCTCAACGCCTTTTCCTAGCACGTATTGCTCACCGGAGAAATAAGAATCCTCCTCGGCAAATGAATTACCATCATCATCATTCTTGGTTTGGCTTTTATCCTGCGTATCAGGAACACTCCCCTGCTCTGTGCCTTTATCATTTTCGCTAGGATAGTCGACTTCGTGACCCAAAAACCACGCCTCATCCTCAATTGGTTGCCTAATGTAACCAACGTCATCATCGTCGTCGTATTCATCAGAGTCCCAATACTCATTTGAATGTTCACCGAGATCATCTAGTCCATTGCCAAAGCCAAAAATCAAGTCAGATGCATCTTCTGCTAGTCCCTGACTTACGGATAACCAGTTTCCTCCACCAGCTATTTTGCCACCTATGAACACCATCAGAATGGGAATTAAACTCGGACTCCATCTTCTGAACATATGAAAAAAGTAACATATACATTACAAGAAAGAAAGGAAAAGGTGTACACAACAGTAATCATCATCATGTCAACTAACCTGATGAATTGATTTCTTGACCAATAGGAACATCAAGATAAGAGCCAATGAGGAAACCATTCTCAGTATTAAGCTTCTCTTCCAAATTGTCACGCTCATGTTTTTCTTCCCAAGTAAAGTTCATCGATTTATCCTCTGACTTGATCTTTACATACGGCAGCATTGGTAAGTCTTCCCTCGGACCATCACGGGCCATCGAAAATGCTAAGCTGCTTAGCTTCTCATGTTCATAACCAGACTGTGACTTTCCAAGGTACAGAGCTGTTGCCAAATCATCTTCCTGCTCCTTAATAGCAATCCTGGAACCACTCGCCTCAACTTTTTTCTTCCCTTGCCTTTTATCTAAAGTGGGTACAACACCATTATCTTTTGTGGACGTGCTTCCTTTGGACAATGGATACACAGTTGTAACAGAACAGTCCTTCCAGTTGTCTGATGGAGCACCAATATTTGGCCATGATGGGGAGATAAAATTTTCTGGTATTGCAGATTTAACACACTCAAAAACCTCTTCATAACTCCATTGCTTTGATCCCTGTGGATTCACAAAGCCTCCTTTACTTGGACCGATACTGTACACCTCAGAGTCAGCTACAACGTCATCAGCAGAAGAAGCATGATTCCAGGGAGGTAAATCAAGCTCAGTATCATCCACTAAATCTTCAGAAAACGTGAATCTCTCCTCCCAGAAACCTGATGCATTAGCACCAGAGCCGCTTTGCGCCTGAACAGAGACATCGTTCATATGATTACTCTCATGTAAGGTATTGGCAGCAGCTCCACATTGTATCTCTTTCACAACCAATTCATCAGATGTGTGATTGTCGTTTTGACGGGGCAATGCTCGGCTACTCTCTGCTTGCTTCTTATCCGAAACCATGCTCACGCCATTACTGCTCTCAAAGTTGAGATTTTTAAGACACCCATTTGAGCTTCGGTTACTGGAGAGCTCACTAATCAACGCGGATTCTGCTCTCATGAAACGATTTCGCCGCAGAAATTCCAAAATCGAATCGATAGAGCTTGCGTCCTCCATTTTCCCAAATCCTTAAGAAACAGATTTCACAAAACCTGAAAGATTTCGAATTCTGTTCAGTTCCTTCCGCCGAACAAACCCAGTTAAGAAGAAACAATTAAGCAACACAGTGAGTACAGAGTAGTTTTAAATCTTCGGAAGAATGAAACTTTGAAGCAGAGAGAGAAGTGAGACGAAACCCTAACAAAGCATATTCTCCGTCTCCCAAGAATATTACGCAATAAAAAATAAATAAAAAATCCCAAAAACAAAACCCAGGATTCGAATTCGAGCAAAATATTCACTTACAGATCTATTGAAAAGCAGAGCAGAAGGTATCAATCAGCTTCTTCTCGCATTTTCAATTCGGAGTCTTTGCTTTGTTTGCAAATCCAATTAAGCTTCTTCTTCTTCGTCTTAATGCTTTCCTTATTCTGCAATCCCGCTTCCTTCTTACTTCGACATCCCATTATCAACGCCACCAATGCGGAAATAAAATAATAAATTGTCATTTTATTATATCTAATATTTTATTTTTATTGGTTTTATTTAGTTTTCTTACTATAGATTTTTTGCTTTGGTGAGAAAAAGCCTGAAAAGAGGTCATCACGTGATCATTTACAAATTCTTGTTACCTTCTGTCCTAATATTTATACCAATATTTAAGTTTCTCTTGTTAAAATGTCTAATTAACGATTGCATCATACATTACTTTTACATCAGAAAATATGTCTTATAATTATGTATTGAAATAATGAATTAGTGAAAAAAGTCAATATTCGTCCCTCGAGAGGAATCCTCTGATGACAATGAGATAGGTGGTTGGACATAACAGTTGTAAGGAAGAAAATGAGATACTCTATTGCTTCAGAAAACACTTGGAGAGAGTGATGTTGATCAGGAGAATCTGAATGAGCAAAGGAATCTTCTTCTTTTTCTTTTTTTTTGTCTTTCGGTGATACACATTTTAGATTATTTTACAATCATGGATCCATGTCACAAGTCTACGATGAACGAGCTAATTTATCCTTTTGTTTTTCTTTACAGAAATGTTGATATCATCATGGAATGAAATATTTAGCCATCTTGAGCAAAATCTTCACTTACAGATCCAATGGAAAAGCAGAGCAGCAGGTATCAATCAGCTTCTTCTTGCATTTTCAATTCGGAGTCTTTGCTTTGTTTGCAAATCCAATTGAGCTTCTTCTTCTTCGTCTTAATGCTTTCCCTATTCTGCAATCCCGCTTCCCTCTTCCTTGGCATCCCATTATCAACGCCACCAATGCGGAAATAAAAGAATAATTTTATTTTATTTTATTTTATTTTTATTGGTTTTATTTAGTTTTCAAACTGTAGATTTTCTTGTTACCTTCTGTCCTAAATATTTATAACAACATTTAATTTTCTCTTGTTATAATGTATATAATCAACGATTGCATCATACAAAATATATATGTAACAGCATATGTCTTTTATTTTTAAAAATGTATTTGTCTTTTTATTTAAAAAATGTCTATTTAAATTTGTTTTGGGACAGAATTTTTTGGTTTTGGTATTAGTTTATAATGTAGAAATCAAGCATATAAAACCATTTTTTAAAAAGGTAAACAAATTAAAATATGGATTGTAGATTAAATATGAAAATTAATCGAGAAACATAAAACTCAAATGACTACAATATAATAAGATAATTTTAATAGAAAAAACTAAAATTTAAAATATTATTCTTAGAAAATCTATACTTCATGTATTTCATAAAATAAGTTAAAATTTTACAATATTTTCTTATAGATATTTTCAAATTTTTTCACTCAGAAATATTTATAGTAAGAAAAATTTTATTTGTTTTAATTATATAATTTTATTAAAAACCATACGAAACCAAATATATATTGATAAATTTGGATACTTATTAAATTAAACTTCCATGTCTGATGGTTTATTATCATTTTGGTTCTTTAGTTTATAATAGTCTTATGAACTATCACATATCTTCATTTCCAATGTGGGACTTTTATGATATACTTATTATTTTTATCATTTTAGTAATTTATATCTGTTTTTAAAAATTTTAATTATAATTTGTGTAAAAAAAATGTACACTTTTATGGTTAATGTGATAATTTATATATTTTTATAAATTTAGTCCAACCAAAAATGAGAGAAAAGAACATAATTAATTTGATAAGATATGAAAAGAATGATAATATATTTCGGATTAAATGGTGAAATATGTATAGACCATTGATATAACTATTTTCTAACCAAATTAATGTAATGCCATAGGTTGTAAATTGTCTAGTAAATTTTGCCTTAATTAAAAATTGTCTTGAGAGTGAATCTAGTGATGACATCTAAGCAATGGTATTCTTGTTAATAATACATGACATAAAGATTATTTTGATAGTGTTTTCTCTTTTAATATATTAGGGATTGAAATCATGAATTAGTGAAACGAGTCAATATTCGTCCCTTGAGAGGATTCCTCTGACGACAATGAGATAGATGGTTTGACATAACATTTGTAAGGAAGAAAATGAGATACTATTGCTTCAGCAAACACTTGGAGAGAGTGATGTTGATCGGGAGAATCTTATTTTATTTTTATTTTTTATCTTTCGGTGATACACATTTTAGATCTTTTACAATCATGGATTCATGTTTTCACAAGTCTACGACTGAACGAGCTAATTTATCCTTTTGTTTTTCTTTACAGAAATGTAGATATCACCATGGAATGAAATATTTGGTCTTACAAAATTGTTAGCCATCTTAAGTGGTGTCCCTCCTCCATGGGTTTTTGGTTGAAGAATTAAATGAATTGCCATATAACGTCATTAGGTTCTTAAATTTCTTCCGTTTCCTTCTAGCATTATATGGTGGTGTTACATGGCATTATATCTACATATCATTTTTTTGTTGGTGTGTCAAATGTCTTGACGATGATTGTTACAATAGTGTTGTGTTCATCAATACATACATATGTGATACACCGTGGCATATATAGTTACCGCAAAAGGGAGGGGGACGAGTTAGTCTAACCACGCAATAAACTAACGATTCCCAAGAGATAAGATGCCAAATGGAATCGACAAAAATATGAGCCAATTGTTCCTATACTTATTAACCCTTTTTTCTAATTGCATAATTTTGTTAAGTTTAGGCAAGTGACTAGAAACTCTCGTCCACCGGTAACTTTCAATCCATGCCAAAAACATAATCTGATTTCTGTTTTTTGTATCCAATTTTTTACGTGTCGATCAACTATTGAAGCTCTCTTCTTTAGTTAATATCGTGTTTGAAAATATGTCCACGCCATATAAATGGTGTGGTCCCTACATTCAAAACAAAAAATCGAAGCCATCTATCATTTTCTATAATCCGAACCTAAGACGTTGTGATAATAATTTTTTTTCTTATAGATAATCAATAAAGTATGTATAAATTAGGGTACAATCGTCTTACTCTAATTTTGGTCTCGAACAGAACTAATATTCTGTATTTCTGTGTATAAAAAGACATAGAGTCATTTCAGTTCTCTCATCGAAGTCTCTCTCAATCAATCTCTTTCTTTCTTCGAGAGTCCAAAACAGTTAGTGAGTTTGCTTCCTGGTCTCAATATTCCTTGATTTTTAGATTTCTTTTTTTTTTATTATATTTTCTAGGGTTTTCTGGTTCTTTGTTCTCAGTTCCTTCACAGATAATTCTCGTTGATTTTATTTTTATTAATTTATAGTTTTCTTTATCAGAGCTTCTTGATGTTTTTCTTTCTATAGTGATTTCCCATGTTCTAACTAAAGATGCTGATCGATGAAATTTGCATGAATTCTCTAATATGAAGATATGTTTTATTTGTTTTTTCAAGGATTCCAAAGACTAATTAATGATTGTTGCTTTTCAAATGTACAGGAAGGCGTTAAAAATGGAAGGATTTGAAGGTGTTGAAAAACGGCTCGAGATGGCGTTCTCCACCGGAGCGAGGCTTCGCCAGAAGCTAACCGAGGAGGCGCTCGCCGGAATACTAGAGCCCGTTGAGTGCTACATCATCTCGTCCAAGTCGGAGGAACACGTTGACGCGTACTTGTTGTCAACGTCGAGCTGTTTTGTTCACGATGATAGAATCATCGTGAAAACTTGCGGAAAGACCACCATCTTCAAATGTATGGCTGGTATTATCCGTACAGCGTCTCCTCAGGTGGTGACTTCCGTCCTCTACACGAGGGGAGAGTTCATCTGGCCCGAAAAACAACCGTCCCCGCACAAGAGCCTCGCTGATGAGAACGCGCATCTCAAGGAGCTGGTCAAGTCTATTCCGGGTCTGAAGGTTATGGACCCACTGGTTACGGGAAATGAGAACATGTGGCATGTTCTCGGTGCTTTCTCTACTGCAGAAGTCAAGGCCGAGGAGGATGTGGTTACGGTGGAGATGTCCATGAAGGGTCTAGATACAGAGAAAGCTTCCGTGTTCTTCAAGAAAACGAGTTCCAACATGACCGAGGCATCCGGTGTCAAATGCATATTCCCTGGGGCCAAACTTGACGCTTACGACTTCGAACCTTGCGGTTACTCGATGAATGGAGTGGAAGGCAAAGCCGTATCGACGATACACGTAGCTCCGGAGGTTGGATCCAGTTTTGCGAGCTTCGAGGTGTTTGGCTACGACTTCAAGAGAGGTAAGAAATTTAACGAAGTGGTCACCCAAGTCTTAGCTACTTTCAAGCCTAAAAAATTCACTCTCACGATCCACTCCACCACCGTCCGGCTCAATGGCAACGAACCCGAGTTCTTGCTCGATCTTGGTGGCTACACCTGCTCTGAAAAGAAAGTCAAGCATCTCGGCCATGGAAGTATCATTTACTACTGCTTCTAAGAAAATAAAGTCAAGCATCTCGGTCATGGCAGTCTCATTTACTACTGCTTCTAAGTGTCATCCGTCCTAGTTTGATATATTATTAGTTGAATAACGTTTCTTATGGTTTTCGATTCTCCTCTCGTGGAATCTTTTCGTGTTTAAGGTTTACTATTTCTCTTTGGTTTATGACTCGCCAGAGATAATCTAGCTACTCGACTTGGTTAATGAATATATTTCCTTTATTTTCTTGCTATTGCTCTTTTATGTTCAAAACAGTAGCTTTCCACAATATTTACTATGCAAAAATCTGTTACCGGAGTAGTCTACGTACGGTGAACATAATTCTTCTATAGTGTTGACTATCTGAAGTGCATGTACCGGTTATATAATTAATGATCATTATGTGAACAAGTTTGTTCTCTAGGAAGGTTTATGTTTTTGTTTGTCTTTTCTTTTTTTCTCAATTATCAACAAGAATTTTATTAAGATAGAAATGTAAACGCAGTTCAAAAACTGAAACATTAGCAGAAACTAAATAATTTACAAAGTATATAACAGTGAGTGAAGGATGCCTGAGAAGAAAAGAATTGAAAGAAAGAGCAATCTCCTTGGTCACAAGGCAAGAGATCTTTAATTATATTTGGGTAAGAAAGTGAGATCAGAATTTTAGATTTACAGTTCATCAACTCATCACTTTTTCCTTTCTCTGCTATGTCCTCTTGTTTGGTAGAATACAGAACCATAAAAACAAAAGGCATGATCACATTATGGAGTATTATTCACTACTTTTTTTTATTCTTGACGAGTTTGAAAAGTATTATTTTTCTGTTGTTGTTACCATTATGATAGGGAGATTTGGATGTTTGTTCCTTGTTCATTGTTGTTAAATGAGGATAAAAACAAATAGAGAATATAGCTATTAAAATCACATGTGAAAATTTATATTGAACTTATCCTTACCATCAAAAAAGCTTATGCTTCATTGTTACCTAATTGGTCGTGCACCTCATGTGACGACGACTACTATTTCCGATACCTTGGGCTACGTAATCACTATTAGGAGGTTTCAAAAAGTAGAAGAGAAATTCATTCAACAAAAGCCACATACAAATATATTACCTCTCTCATACTAATGTTGGAATTGAAATTTGATCAAGCATACATACACAAAGGATCAATCCTTGAGGGCCCAAGAACAGAGGCATCAGGTCATCATCTGATTTGGCAGAGGACCCATGTCATATCTTGGTGGTTGCATTGGGCTAGGAAAGCCTTTAGGTCTTCCGTAACCTCCTGAGGTTTCTCGACCTACCAAGAAGACCATCAGAATCCGCCTCACAAAAGGTAAATAAATCAAGTAAAAAGATTTGACCTAAAAGAAAACTAAATAAGGTACAGTATTGCTTACAATATTGTTTACACGACATAATTATGCCAGTGCCAATTTCAACTCTTTCACGGTCAAAACATTACAAAAATCAGTAAAACTTGTATGGTCTTCGTCTCAAAAAATTTAGATACACATCTAAATTAAGTTACTTACATTAAAAAAAAAAAAATTGAGTCAATTTTTAACTCGTAAAGTAACTTGTGATTACCTCAAGAGTCAATTCTTTTTCTCATTTAGGGTTTAGAGTTTAGTTTTTTAGGTTTGGAGTTTAGATTTTGTGTTTAATATTTATATATTAGGTTTGAGTTTATATTTTTGGATTTAAAGTTTTGGAGTTTGAGTATAAGATTTATATATTATATTTAGGGTTTAGGGATATGGCTAATTTTCCAACATCCGAGTTTAGTTTTTTGGGTTTCAAATTGAGATTTTGGAATTAGGGTCTTTTTTCATAAATTTGGATTTAGTTTATGAGGTTTAGGGTTTAGATTTGGGGTTAGGGTTCTTTTTTCTAAATTAGGGTTTAGTTTTGTGGGTTTAGGGTTTAGTTTTTGAGTTTATAATTTAGTTTTTTGGGTTTAGGGTTTAGTTTTTTGGGTTTAGGGTTTAGATTTCCGGTTTAGGGTTTAGATTTATGCGTTTGAGGTTTAGGGTTTGAATTAATGGTTTGAAATAGAACAAACTGTACTATATTTTTTAATATGGTATAGAATTTGCTGAGGGTTAATATAGATAAAATTTGATGAATGTATCTATGTACTATAGCCAAACTATTGCTAAGGCTATATTCTTAATTCTTATTCCAATATGTATATTCAGCTAATTAACCCTTTTTTTAATATCACATGTTTTCATCAAATCCACACAGATTTACTAAAGATAAAGTTTGGCCAATGTTTCAAAAAATTCCATATACAGTATGTTTGAATATTCATATATTTAAATACTTATATAAATAATGTTTGTTTGCAAGATCATTTCAAGAAGATCAATAACATTAAAATGATGGATTTGAAAATATGTCTTAACATTTATTATCTCTTTTTAATAATGACTAGGTATTTTACCCGCGCACGCGGGGTTTCCGTTTTAATAAATTTTTAAATTGTTATATTTAATTTTTTTATGTTACTTCTCAATTTTTTTTTTGCTTTTTGTTTTTTTAATAAATTTTCTTTGTAATATACTTTTTAATTATTTTTTTACTTAACCAATTTAATTATTTTATAATTAGTCATAATAAGTAATGTACTTTTTAAAAACATATTTTCTGTAGAAAACATTCAACAGTCCTATCCTCACATTTCTTAAATTAATCCCTTAATTTTACTATTTATTAGACACTTTTTAATTTTTATATCCATTAAAGGTCATCGGCAAGTTTTGTACAATCCAATATTAGTCTAATACATATTTTAGTTGTTAATTTCCTTTTTAATTTTATTTATTAGTTTAGCTTTTCCAGCTCTGAGTTTACGATTTATACTTAATTTTTTTCTTTTTTTTAGTTTAATTATTTTGCATTCAATTCCATTTAATAAATTCATCTCTTTATTTTTAAATCACTGTTTTGATAGTTAAAAAGTCTCATATATTCCAAACTTTTATTTTTTCGTATCCTTGTTTATTTAGTAATCGCGTTTCCATTTTCCGCGTTTAATTTATTTTTTCGGATGCAATCTTGTGAGAAATCTATAACTCTAGGTGATGCCAACTGCTCTGCCAAGTTCCATAGACTCATAGATATTTAATTTTACAAAATTATCGCCTTTCGATGGACGTTACTGGGGTAAAGCTAAGGACTTGGCCTCTTCAATGAACGAGTTTGGTTTTATCAATTTCCGAATAGTTGCCCTAGGTACTTGTTTCTCACCCAAGTGAAGGTTTATTATCTAATTTATGATTTTTTTTCTTTTTTTTTGTGGACTTGTTATTTGCGAGTTATTTAGGTTTCTAAAGCTCTTGTTCTTTATATATTTTGTAGATCAGATTGCCTCTATATCTTTCTAAAGTCTCTCAAATCACCGAAGTTCCATGCTTTTCAAAAGATGATGATGTGTACGTTGTGTTTACCATTGATGATACGTTGGAAGCTAATAAGGTCTAGAGAATAGCAAATGATGATGTGAAAGCTGTGGAGTATTGCTTGAAACAAAAGTGTGAATCACAATCAGAAATTGTCAAGGTTGGTAAACTTTCAGTCTGTTCCACCAAGTATTTAGCAACATTTAGATAATAGTCTTTAGATAAAAAGTAGAAGGATATATATTAGATAATAGTCTTTTAATCAAACATTAGATCTCGTCTATCTATTATAGCACTGCATGTCTTTGAACTCAGTTATTCGCTTGGGAAGTTGAAAGTCTTGCGTTTTCTGTGAAACATGTCTTCACCTAGTGATTTCCAATAGCGATTCCACAAATTTAGAGGACTCCCAACTTGACAATATATGAGCAAGCAAACAAATAGTCTTCGTAGTTGATAAGGTGTAGACCATTGAGTTGCTTCGTCCATCACGTCATGCCACTCAGAGTCTGAATCTAGGATACCTCTATCACAGGATACTGATTTGTAATCATCATATTTTGTGTCCCCAACACTTTGAATCTCTTCAAAACTTTCTACTCTTGACCATAAACTTCTATCGATGTTCCATGTAAATTTTCTCAGAAATTCCGAATAAGTTATATGATGAGCCTCTTCTGATTCTTCGTTTCATAAATGTCCTCGTTCTTGTCAACAGGTTCATTAAACTCGGCATTGGAACGAATTCCAAAGTTTTGACCCTCAATAGTGTAGTCATCATGGTCGGTTTGCACCATTGTTGTTTCCGGAATGAATTGGATGAGAAATCTGTGTGAGGAGACCTTGTAGCTCGTTTTGTTGATGATGACCAAAAAATTACCAATCTGGTGCTGCAAAGGATCAAACTCGATAATTGTTGCGTTCAAGACAAATGTGATAACCGCTACACCATAACATCTTTTTGGCTGAAAAGGAAATTTATGTTTATAATTACTTAAACCATGTGTAAATTTTCCACTAAAAAATAACTATTACTAATAATATATGTAAATTTTGATAATATATGTAAAATACGATTAATGAATAGGAAAATTATTATACAATTCTTGTAAATTGTAAATTCAGAGAAATTATCATTATTAAAAACAAATTAATAAATTATATGTAAAATAGGAAATTTACATAAATTAATTATTTAATGATAAAAAATTGAGAACAAATTAAAGATAATTACATGGACCAATCAAATTCAAAATTAAAGATAATGACATGGACCAATCAAATTCAACCTTTTAAATTCTATGTGGACAGCTTCTAATGCATATAGGCTCAACTTTTATTAGTAATAGATCAGATTGCCTCTATATCTTTCTAAAGTCTCTCAAATCACCGAAGTTCCATGCTTTTCAAAAGATGGTGATGTGTACGTTGTGTTTACCATTGATGATACGTTGGAAGCTAAAAAGGTCTAGAGAGTAGCAAATGATGATGTGAAAGCTGTGGAGTATTGCTTGAAACAAAATTGTGAATCACAATCAGAGATTGTCAAGGTTGGTAAACTTTCAGTCTGTTCCACCAAGTATTTAACAACATTAGATAATAGTCTTTAGATAAAAAGTAGAAGGATAAATATTAGATAATAGTCTTTTAATCAAACATTAGATCTCGTCAATCTATTTATAGCACTGCATGTCTTTGAACTCAGTTATTCGCTTGGGAAGTTGAAAGTCTTGCGTTTTCTGTGAAGCATGTTTTCACCTAGTGATTTCCAATAGAGATTCCACAAATTTAGAGGACTCCCAACTTGACAATATATGAGCAAGCAAACAAATAGTCTTTGTAGTTGATAAGGTGTGGACCATTGAGTTGCTTCGTCTATCACGTCATGCCACTCGGAGTCTGAATCTAGGAGACCTCTATCATAGGATACTGATTTGTAATCATCATATTTTGTGTCCCCAACACTTTGAATCTCTTCAAAACTTTCTACTCTTGACCATAAACTTCTATCGATGTTCCATGTAAATTTTCTCAGAAATTCCGAATAAGTTATATGATGAGCCTCTTCTGATTCTTCGTTTCATAAATGTCCTCGTTCTTGTCAACATGTTCATTAAACTTGGCATTGGAACGAATTCCAAATTTTTGACCGTCAATAGTGTAGTCATCATGGTCGGTTTGTACCATTATTGTTTCCGGAATGAATTGGATGAGAAATCTGTGTGAGGAGACCTTGTAGCTCGTTTTGTTGATGATGACCAAAAAATTACCAATCTGGTGCTGCAAAGGATCTAACTCAATAACTGTTGCGTTCAAGACAAATGTGATAACCGCTACACCATAACATCTTTTTGGCTGAAAAGGAAATTTATGTTTATAATTATTTAAACCATGTGTAAATTTTCCACTAAAAAAATAACTATTACTAATAATATATGTAAATTTTGATAATATATGTAAAATACGATTAATGAATACGAAAATTATTATACAATTATTGTAAATTGTAAATTCAGAGAAATTATCATTATTAAAAACTAATTAATAAATTATATGTAAAATAGGAAATTTACAAAAATTAATTATTTAATGATAAAAAATTGAGAACAAATTAAAGATAATTACATGGACCAATCAAATTCAAAATTAAAGATAATGACATGGACCAATCAAATTCAACATTTTAAATCCTATGTGGACAGCTTCTAATGCATATAAGCTCAACTTTTATTAGTAATAGATCAGATTGCCTCTATATGTTTCTAAAGTCTCTCAAATCACCGAAGTTCCATGCTTTGAAGTGATTTAGGGTGATTTTTATTAAAATGACAAATCCAGTGTTATTCAAATTGGAATTATAAAAACTATTTTAAAATCCAGTGTTATTGAACTAGTGATTTTAAAATCCATTTTCAAATCCAGTGTTATTGGAAATGTTTTTAAAAGTGGATTTTAAAAGATATATTTGATTTTAGAGTGATACGGTGAGATTTCCTTGTTAAAAATAAGAGATTTCAAATCACATGGTTTTAGGTGGGATTTTAGAATCATTTAACTAAAATCACTTGAAATTCTTTAATTTAGACAATCATTTAAAAACTCCCTAGAAATCAAATCACCCTAAATCATTCAAAATCCCTAATACAATACAATTACATGGACCATCAAATTCAAAATTAAAGATAATGACATGGACCAATCAAATTCAATCTTTTAAATCCTATGTGGACAGCTTCTAATGCATATAGGCTCAACTTTTATTAGTAATATATTATTTTTATAAATAAATTAGAATAATATATTTTGAAGGATATTTAAATTATTAAAAATGATAACATTGCATAAGAGAATAATTTATCTGTTTGCTTTATCTAAGGTATTTTGGTAACTATGTTTAATTGTTCACCAAAAAGGTTAGTTTTCATAAAGATGAAAACAAAGGTTAGTGTTTACAAAATGTATAAGAAGATATCAATATCAAAAACTAAAAAGTTTAAGATTTAGGGGGGTGTATTGATATTGGGATTTGAAGTGATTTAGGATGATTTGTATTAAAATGACAAATCCAGTGTTATTCAAATTGGAATTATAAAAATTATTTTAAAATCCAGTGTTATTGAACTAGTGATTTTAAAATCCACTTTCAAATCCAGTATTATTGGAAATGTTTTTAAAAGTGGAATTTAAAAGATATATTTGATTTTAGAGTGATTTGGTGAGATTTCCTTGTTAAAAATAAGAGATTTCAAATCACATGGTTTTAGGTAGGATTTTAGAACCATTTAACTAAAATCACTTGAAATTCTTTGATTTAGAAAAAATCATTTAAAAACTCCCTAGAAATCAAATCACCCTAAATCATTCAAAATCCCTAATACAATACAATTACATGGACCAATCAAATTCAAAATTAAAGATAATGATATGGACCAATCAAATTCAACCTTTTAAATCTTATGTGGACAACTTCTAATGCATATAGGCTCAACTTTTATTAGTAATAAATTATTTTTATAAATAAATTAGAATAATATATTTTGAAGGATATTTAAATTATTAAAAATGATAACATTGCATAAGAGAATAATTTATCTGTTTGCTTTATCTAAGGTATTTTGGTAACTATGTTTAATTGTTTACCAAAAAGGTTAGTTTTCATAAAGATGAAAACAAATGTTAGTGTTTACAAAATGTATAAGAAGATATCAATATCAAAAACTAAAAAGTTTAAGATTTAGGGGGGTGTATTGATATTGGGATTTGAAGTGATTTAGAGTGATTTGTATTAAAATGACAAATCCAGTGTTATTCAAATTGGAATTATAAAAACTAATTTAAAATCCAGTGTTATCGAACTCGTGATTTTAAAATCCACTTTCAAATCCAGTGTTATTGGAAATGTTTTTAAAAGTGGAATTTAAAAGATATATTTGATTTTAGAGTGATTTGGTGAGATTTCCTTGTTAAAAATAAGAGATTTCAAATCACATGGTTTTAGGTAGGATTTTAGAATCATTTAACTAAAATCACTTGAAATTCTTTGATTTAGAAAAAATCATTTAAAAACTCCCTAGAAATCAAATCACCCTAAATCATTCAAAATCCCTAATACAATACAATTACATGGACCAATCAAATTCAAAATTAAAGATAATGACATGGACCAATCAAATTCAACCTTTTAAATCTTATGTGGACAACTTCTAATGCATATAGGCTCAACTTTTATTAGTAATAAATTATTTTTATAAATAAATTAGAATAATATATTTTGAAGGATATTTAAATTATTAAAAATGATAGCATTGCATAAGAGAATAATTTATCTGTTTGCTTTATCTAAGGTATTTTGGTAACTATGTTTAATTGTTTACCAAAAAGGTTAGTTTTCATAAAGATGAAAACAAATGTTAGTGTTTACAAAATGTATAAGAAGATATCAATATCAAAAACTAAAAAGTTTAAGATTTAGTTTTTATTATATCACTTTTTAAGCACAAAATATATCACTTATAAGTTATAAGTCAACATTTATTAGGTAGTTAATGAAAAACCATAAAGTAAAAATATTAAATAAGATGATATCCTCTTGATGTTCAAAAAGAGAAAAACAACGGTATAAATCAGGTAGTTAATCAGAGCCACATACACACAAACCAAAGCCAAAGTCCAAAATTTGTTTGATTGTAATGGCGTCGATGAAGCTCCCGTGGGATTTGGAGGAAGAGATAATCTCTCGACTTCCACCTCGATCTCTAGTTCGGTTCAGAAGCGTCTGTAAACGATGGAACTCTGTTTTCAACGACCAGAGTTTCCTCAAGAACCACTTGGGTCGTTCCCGTCCGCAGTTCATTTTTCTGGCTGAATCCAAGTCTTTTTCGATAGGCGTCGATCTCGGCGGCGGCGTCGATCCGAGGATAGAGGTGTGTGAGCTAGCCTCTGATTTTCCCTGTCAGACTAAGAATGTGAGTATCAACACCATAAGGACTTGCGACGGATTCTTGTTTCGCCACTTTTGGGAGAAAGGGGTTGCGATTTGGAATCCGTGGCTGAGACAGGTTGGATGGATCGAGTACGAGGATAAAGCTTTCGGACTTTGCGGTGTAGGATACGACAGTACTAGATCCGAAATTGGGTACAAGATCTTGGGGCGTTTCTACAGTTTACGTAGAGAGGTCGACGGTTCCCAAAGAGGTTACCACAGATTTGCGGTCTACGAGTGCGCTTCTCAGGCGTTGAAGTTTATTGATTCCCCTTTCACGCTGTGGCCTACCAATGTGGACCCTACGTCAGTGAACGGAAATTTGTTTTGGATTGGTTACAGTGACGAGGCTCGTAAGCATGTCATTCAAAGTTTTGATTTTACAAGGGTTACATTCAACGAAAACTTCTGTCTCCTGCCGTGTGAGAAGATCCTGACTGGCAATCGACTTATCCTCGAGGTTTTTGAGGGGGATCGGCTTTCCTTGTTAAATTGGAACTATGTAACAGGGATGATTGAGATTTGGGTAACGGATAACAAGGTTGTTGTTGATAGAGGCGAACAAGTGGTGTGGATTAACTTGATGACTTTCCCAACAACTACTAACTTACGAAACCTAATCAATAAGTTTTGGGGCATCATGTATTATATCTCTGACAAGACCCTAGTCCTGTGCTGGAGCGACGACGTAACTAGAGAGGTTTGCGTCTATCTTGTGAGGGAAGATGTGTTCAAGAAGATCTCGATTGATTATGGGACTAGTCTTCGGTATTATCACTGTGTCTATGTTCCAAATCTGTTCCCGCTGCCTTTAGAATTCAGATCGCTGCAAGTGTAATAGTTTTTTTTGTTGTTTTGTTTCTGGCTTCTTCTTCTTTGTTTTTTTTGTTTTTATTTACATTTATCTCAGTTCGATCTTCACTTTTGAGTTTTGAATCAGAAGACATTTCTCTTGACAAGATTTTCTGCTCTCATTGATGGTTGGAGCCGAGAATACAAACAATATTATGAATGTTTTGGAAATGTGATTGAAAGGTGATTCTGTTTAAATTTTCTTATTACACGTGGGTTGATTTGGAAATGAACTTGTTTACGAATTTTGCCACACGTGAAAGAAAACCAAAAACACACTCCCAAACGCCAAACCCCTTACTTTCAAATAATTGTATTTTCTTTCTCACCAAGTGGTTGTAACTAAATACTTGCATCTTATTCAAAACATCACTAACTTGCTACAGAAGTGAGAAAACGGTCTTTCTAACATCTTTATACATTAATCAGCTTCCCAAGTCAAGAACAGCTATAACACTTTGGTTTCCGTTGAGAGAATAAGCGAAGAGAGCATAAAGAATTTCATCTTAGGTATCCGATTGTATGTAGTAAGGATGTTGGCTAACCTGTAATCTTGGCATTGTGAAATAAACCTCTCCACCTGATTCCCTATTAAACGTTTGGAACTCATACAAGTTTGCCTTGAGAAGTTCACATACTATTAACAGGTGCTCCTGCAAAACAGAGATTCAATTTAATTGCAATCAGAGGTATAAAGTTGCAGGCCAAAGTCACACATTCTTTTCTTCATTGAATATCATTAACGAACTATTGGAACATCATAGCACATAAGCAGAACATTATCCAAATTCATCTACAATATCTACTCGATGATAAACAGAGGGAAAGATGATAAGAAGAATAAAGAAATAATTAGTGCATCTACTTACCCGGAAGTAGAAGTAGTCATACAGTCGAAGGATATGGTACTTGTCACCGGGATCATGCTGGTTGACATACTTGAGAAGTTTGATCTCATCAAGGCTCTGGTCAAAAAAGTCTTTGTTGTTCTTTATGATCTTTACACAGACATCAATGCCTGTGTGGAGGTCATGTGCTTGTATTGCTTTGCTAAAAGCTGCTGATCCAAGATGCTCAGTGACATGATAACGACCAGCTATGACAGAATTCAAAACCACATGGAAGCTCTTGTCCTCTTCAAAACCAGTCCTGGGCACAAAAGAAAGAGATAGAAGAAACAGCTAAATCTCCCGAATGTTCATAAGATTTGGGATAGACTAATGAGTACAAACATCACTGAATACATACTACAACAATACCACAAGATGATTGTAAGAGAAAATACCTGTTTTTCCTGTGAACAATCTTCAGGTTGAAGGTCTCAAAATCCTGCTCTTGGGCTTTAATCTGTCTTACTTGCTCCTGCACCACGATAGCATCCTCATCCTCAAACGAGGTCCCAAGATCTTCCTCCGGCCCATGACTGGTTTCTTCCTCATCTTCTTCCTTGCCATGCTCTCTCCCAGTATAAGAACTATGGGAGAGTACGGATGGGGAAGAGTTTCTTGAACTTGCAACCTTCTCACCATCCCTATCTCTTAACATTCCTTCAGAGAAAGAATCGCTGCGTCTTTTTGTCGAAGAAACATCCATACTATTAGACTCAATAAGCCCCTTTGGTCCATGACTTTCCCTTCTCACAGCAGCATTGCAATGGTTTGCAGAATCTTCATGGGAGATCTGTCCATCAGGTACTGGAGAGGGAAAAGAGAAACCACCATTCGCAAAGCTTTTGAGCTGCATACTTGCACCTTTACCAGGTGGAGGCTTGACACCAGCAATACCAACTTGGCGATGAGGAAGGAGCTCCAAATTCCATTCACTACCTTCTCCAGGAAACAAATCAGGTACTGTACTCCCATTGTCATCAACAAGGCGTTTCCAGTACTTAGTGATATCCTCCAACGACATCTTAGAAGTCTTGACTTCTTCTTCGCCACTAACCTTAGCAGCAGCGGCTAGATGAGCGATCCGGCTAGGAAGACCTTCGATCTCTTTGAGCACCTGAATGATATGTGTAATGAGTCTGTCTGCAAGTCCTCTGCTAAAGTCTTCTCCGATGACAACTCTGAGCACAGCAATGTGCTGTGCATCTGCAGGCATAGTGTAAGCCGGTATGATCCACCCGAATTTCCTCAGAGACTCTGCGATCTCAAACACAGTGTGTTTGCTGCTGTCCTTGAGAGAGAATGCAACTAGTGGCACACCAACGTCCTTTGACAGAATGTGGAAAGTCTTCTATTTTTCGGGTGTAATCTGAAGGAGACCACCGAAAAAACCAGCTAAGAACCTCTGGATAATGTGTTGCTTTTGTGCTATGATAGATGTTTTAGCTTTAACTGTTCGTTAAATGATACAATTCAATAAAGAAAAAAATGTGTTTACTATTGACAGGGTTCGTCCTTTTCTTTCACGTTTGGCTAACTAGACATGAACACTGTCCTGACGCTGTTGGCACCATTTGATTGTGACAAACATTCATAAACAAGTTCATTTCCAAATCAACCCACGTGTAATAAGAAAATTTAAACAGAATCATCTTTCAAAAGAAGGAAGACATGTCTCTAACGAAACCCAAATGGGGGCCTGAAGTCGTGATTTGAGAATGTTATACGAATCTATCTCTATCTATATGTTAGGAATAATCTGTATAGAGATAATTTGACATTTTGTTCTAGAATTCTTGGGTGAAAAAAAAGACGGAGGAATTCAGAAACAGAGCTAAAGCTGAGTCTCATTGTGTCTTTAATAGTTTCAGAAACACTACTACATCTATGATTCACTCAATCCTTAAATTTTGCAAAAAGCTACAAAAGAGACTTGATTTATACTTACAAAAGAAGAAAAAATGGTTCAACACTCTAAATTCTGTATCTGACAGTTAACAATCTATACCAAAACCACGTGGGACCAAACTGAAGGACCAGAAAATTTTGACTCTCTCTTGAGGTTTTGCTACTCTCTTACACGACTGAACACACGCATTTGTTCATCTTCAGATCACCTTTACGCTTTCTTTTTGTTTAAAAAATACACATATCTGTCAATTTCAGATCAGAATTTGAAGCTTAAGTAGAGGGTCTTGTCTAATGAGAGCAGAAAATCTTGTCAAGAGAAATTTCTTCTGAATCAAAAGTGAAGATCAAATTGAGATTAATGCAAGTTAAAATAAGAAAACAAAGAAGAAGCCAGAAACAAAACAAAAAAAAACTAATACACTTGCAGTGATCTGAATTCTAAAGGCACCGGGATCAGATTTGGAACATAGACACAGTGCGAATACCGAAGAACACTCCCAGAACCCATTGAAATCTTCTTGAACACATCTTCCCTCACAAGATAGATGCAAACATCTCCAGTTTCGTCTTCGCTCCAACACATGATTAGGGTCTTGTCAAAGATAAAATACATGATGCCCCACAACTTATTAATTAAGATTGGTAAGTTACTTGTTGGGAAAGTCATCAAGTTTACCCACACCACTTGTTCCCCTTTATCAACAACCACCTTGTTATTCGTTACCCAAATCTCAATCTTCCCTGTTACATAGTTCCGATTCAACAAGGAAAGCCGACCCCCCTCGAAAACCGCGAGGATAAGTTGATTAACAGTCAGCATCTTCTCACACGGCAGGAGACAAAAAATTTCTTTGAATGTAACCATGGAAAAATCAAAACTTTGAATGACATGCTTACGAGTCTCGCCGCTGTAACCAATCCAGAACAAATTTCCGTTCAGTGACATAGGGTCCGCCCTGGTAGACCACCGCGTGAGAGGGGAATCAATAAACTTCAACGCCTGAGAAGCACAGTCGTAAATCGCAAATCTGTCGTAACCTCTTTGGCAACCGTCGCCGTCTGAACGTAAACAGTGAAAACGCCCCAAGATCTTGTACCCAATACTGTCGTATCCTACACCGCAAAGTTCGAAAGCTTTATCCTCGTACTCGATCCATCCAACCTGTCTCAACCACGGATTCCAAATCGCAACCCCTTTCTCCCAAAAGTGACGAAACAATAATCCGTCGCAAGCCGTGATGCTGGTGATTCTCGCATTCTTAGTCTGATTAGGAAAATCAGAGGCTAGCTCACACACCTCTATCTTCGGATCAACGCCGCCGCCGCCGCCGAGATCGATGCCTATCGAAAAAGACTTGGATTCAGTCAGAAATATCAACTGGGGACGGGAACGACCCATGTGGTTTTCGAGGAAACTCTGGTCGTTGAAAACAGAGTTCCATTGTTTACAGACGCTTCTGAACCGAAGTAGATATCGAGGTGGAAGACGAGAGATTATCTCTTCCTCCAAATCCCACGGGAGCTTCACCGACGCCATTACAATCAAACAAAATTCTGACTTTGGTTGTGGTTTGAGTATGTGGCTCTGATTATATAATATATAATAATAATAAAAAGAGTAATGAGAAACTAATTAGTTATATCTTGATCTGTTTAGTAGGATATAATCCTAATCTCTTTAGTTTTTGGTTTTGAACTACCTAATACATATTGACTTATAATATTATTTTTTTTCTCTTCTTGAACATCAAGAGGATATAATCTTGTTTATTATTTTTACTTTGTTTATGGTTTTTAACTACCTAATAAATGTTGACTTATATTAAAAAAAAAACTATACAAAAACAAATCTTATTGTTGATAATAAAATAATACTCTACTCATAATCGTTCTGTAATTAATACAAAAAAAATTGTTATAGGGATTTTTTTTATTTGTTGGCACTTGAGAAAATTTTGCTCTTAGACAGAAAGAACTGTCACTTTTAAAAACTTGATGAGACAAAAATACAATATTTTTGGAAAAAAAACAAATAATGAGCGAAAAAGAGTATTTTGACCGTGAAAGAGTTGGAATTGGCACTGGCATAATTATGTCGTGTAAATTAACTTGTGAGACGGATTCTTATTATGGTCTTCAAAAGTTGCCAAAATTTGATAATGCTTTTGTTTTTATGGTTCGGTATTCTGTCAAACAAGAGAACATAGCAGAGAAAGGAACAAGTGATGAGTTGATGAATTGTAAATCTAAAATTCTGATCTCACTTTCTTACCCAAAAAAAAGTTCCCTTGCTATTGAAAGCTCTCTTGTGACCAAGGAGATTGCGCTTTCTTTCTTTTCTTCTCAGGCTTCCTTGATTAACTGTTATACTTTGTAAATTATTTAGTTCTGCCAATGGAAGGGAGAAGAGTTAGTCTAACCACGCAATAAATTAAGGATTCACCGGTAACTTTCAATCGATGCCAAAAAAAAATCTGATTTCTGTTTTTTGTAACTGTTTTCTTACGTGTCAATCAGCTATTGAAAGCTCTCTTGTAAAAAAAAATCTAATATTCTTGGCATGTTTTCAGTTTAAAATCTTAATGGTTATCAAAAGCAAACGAAACACAAAATTTTCAAACAAAATCACTATTACAAAAAAAAAATCAATGTCCATCGACTCATTCGGTTACAACGGCGTGATAAGAAAGACAAAGTTATGAGGAATGAAAATCCGTAGCATGTTCTTGGTGCATATTCTGATGCATAAATCAACACCTAAGCTGAGGCGATGGAACTACATTTTTACAATAAAAAAAACGTTTTCAATGGTATAACTCGATCTTAAACAAAACATAAGCAATAGATAAGTAAAACGTAAACAAAATATAAGCAATGTTATAGAAAAATTATTTAGCTGCATAACAAGTCTTAATTAAATTCTTTCAGTATTAGTCTATTACTAATAAAAGTTGAGCCTATATGCATTAGAGGCTGTCCACCTAGGATTTAAAAGCTTGAATTTGATTGGTCCATATCATTATTTTGTTTTTGTTTTTAAATTAATTTATATAAATTTTCTATTTTACATATTATTTATTAATTAATTTTTACTAATAAAAGTTGAGCCTATATGCATTAGAGGCTGTCCACCTAGGATTTAAAAGCTTGAATTTGATTGGTCCATATCATTATTTTGTTTTTGCTTTTAAATTAATTTATATAAATTTTCTATTTTACATATTATTTATTAATTAATTTTCAGTAAAGATAATTTCTCTGATTTTACAATTTTCGAGAACTGAATTATAAGTTTCATATTCATAGATTATCTAAATTTACATATATTATTAGTATTAGTTTCTTTTTAGTGGAAAATTTACACATGTTATAAGTAATTATATAAATAAATTTCCTATTCAGCCAAAAAGATATTATGGTGTAGCGGTTATCACAATTGTCCTAAACTCAACATGTATCGAATTGGATTTATTTTGCCCTAAACTCCCTATTTAGCATTGTTGCAAGTTTGAAGCTTCAATACAACTTCAGTTGAGGGAGTATTAAACCAAAAATGGAGAAATTCGGAATCTATTACTAAGATAAGTCTTGTGATTTGACTGTACAATTCGGCTGCTTTAATTTCTGGCGAATATAAGATTGCTTCTTCGGCATTTTTTTCTTATTTCTTGCTCCAAATTTATTTCTTGGTTTCATTATTTCGTTTTAGTCTAGAAGATTCTTGAAAAACAAATTGGATATTGTTTGATAAAGATTAGGATTTGGATAGTTCCTATTTTTGTAATTATCACTTCTCTAATTTCCTTATTGTACAATGACATTGATATACATTGATTCCTTTTTCCATTAGGAATAAGATGATCTTAAATCCTATATATACGTGGTCTTATTGCCACATGAAACCAAGTTCATAATATACATTCACATCTCTCAATCGATTTTTATAAGCCATGGCAAATTCATGCTCTTCTGTTTCTAATCAGTTAAGCCATACTTTGGTTTTCGATGATCTAAAAAAAGGTTTCAAAATAATGATTTGCTTGTCAGAGTCATCCACTTTTGGGAGGCACGAAACGTTAAAAAAGGCGGATTACTCATGGGTGTAGAACTCCTTCTCATGGATCAGAAGGTACTTAATCAAAGGATTTTAAAGAAAAAAATTGAACATGAAGGCTAAGAACGTTTGATCTCTGTAAAAACAAGAAAACCAAACAAAAACGGGTAAAGTCAATGAGAAGAGATTTCAAATATTATTAAAAACGACTAGTGAAAGGAGAAAACGCTCTAAAACTCGACAGCTATAAGTCTCAAGAACTTGCCAAAGCAATTGCCACCACCTAGAGTTATACATTTATCACCAATTCGCATCCGGACAATTAGATTACAAACAAAATACACCATTTGGATATCAGCAAAAAAAGATTGAAAATACGGAAAATCATAACCTTCATCGAAGCCATTAGCTGAGAATCAGGAGAAGAAAGAAGCATCGAAACTCAGGGAAGGGGATGATGAGATGCCAAGAACAGTGATTTTGATGACTTTAAAACGAAGTCGTTGACTTTAAAACGAACTCATTGACTAAAGATTGAAGAAAAGTTGTGCTCCATATGAACAGAAAACAAAACCAACGAGATATTTCAAATATCAAATTGATAGCTAAACCGAACCGAAACAAACATAGACTGATTAAACATCAACAAAACTAGCAAACACCGAGAAAACCCAAAATTTAACTCGGTGACGTTATCGAAAATCATTTGACCAAAAAATCAAACCATCAATCGGCGATAAAGGGAAAATTCGAGATTGGTACCTAAGTTAATTGAGAAATTCAGAGCGAGAGTCGAAGGAGATCGAAAAGAAGAAGAAGCGTGAGCTCTCCCCTGGTAATAACAAGATTAGCAACAAAGAAGAGGGATCTAAATGATGAGATGGTTCCGGTGGGAATAAGGAAGAAGAAATATTGTTCGATTGTGGTCGGTAAATGAAAGAAAAAGAAATGAAGCATTTCTAATTTCTATGAGATAGGAAAATCGAACCGTAACAAACCAAAAGAATTTAACCGGGAATTGGAAAAACAATTAAAAGATGATGACCACGGGAAGAAGAAGAAGCCATATGATATGGAAAAAGTGGGAATACATTTAACACGATTATATCATATGAAACAATTAAAAAAAAATTATTTTTTACTCCTGATCTTTCTGATTCCTTTCTTCCCGTCCTTAATGATCTGTAAAATACATTTATATTTTATTTTATTTTCTAGATATAAGACTTTTAAATACAAAAACAATGATTTAAAAATAAAGAGATGAATTTATTGATGGAATTAAATGCAACATAATTAAAATTACAAAAAAAATTAAGTATAAATCATAAATTCATAGCTGGAAAAGCTAAACAAATAAATAAAATTAAAAAATAAATTAAGAACTAAAATATGTATTAGACTAATATTGGATAAGTTTGCCAGATAACCTTTATTGGATATAAAAAAAATTGTCTTGTAAAATTAAGGGATTAGTTTAAGAAATTTGAGGATTGGGCTGTTGTATGTTTTTATGACAAAAAATATTTTTAAAAGGTATCTTACTTATTATGACTACTTATAAAAATAATTAAATTGGTTAGGTAAAAAAAATTAAAAGTATATTACAAAAAAAAGTTTATTAAAAAAAATTATAAACAAAAATTGAAAAATAGTGAAGCATTTTAAAAATCTTTTTTTAATAAATGAAATTATTATTTTCATCTCTTATCAAAGAAACAAAAAAAAATTGATGACTCGAACTTGATATACAAATATTCTTAATTGAATCATACATTTTCTTAATATTATTGAATAAAATTAAAATAAAGAGGACATAAGATTTATTTACAAATATTAAAACGGAACCCGCGCGTGCGCGGGTAAAACACCTAGTTAAATTTAATGGCTGAGTTTTTTTCATATATTTTTTTCCAACAACTGTTTTCATCTTTTAAAATATACTTATGATTTAAAATGATTTGATTAGAAACCACAGTGAATGGACTATTTGACAACGTTCTTCATGATTAACCAGGTGTTAGAAACTGGATCACCTAGATAATTAAATGCACCCAAATTTGTAATTCAAGTGTAATCCTTTAGGCACCACAAGTCACACACACCCCAATTATAGTAAAGCACAAGTCACACACCCAATGGTAAAGTGACATGTGTTATGTTTAGTTAAAATAAAGCCCTAATATTTCTTTAAGCGTTTCTATGTGACAATTATTAGGGTCTGGCGTGTAAGCTGTCAGGACTTTTAGGACTTTAACAGTTCTTACAGTCTATTTTTTACCAATTAAACTTTTAGGACTTTAAAATATTTAAAAGTCATGAAAGTCTTCCAATAAAAAATTGTTCATCATTGTGGGATTTTTTTAAAAGCCACATTTGATGACTTTCATTCTCTCTCTTCTAACACTTTTATCTTTTACTTTTATTTTAATAACTTTTATTCTTTCTCATCTCCCAAAAAGAAATCAAAATTTACTTTTAGC